GGTTTGACTGAGTTTCTTCTGTGGAATATAAAAGATGATAATTTGAAGAATGTCTCATATTTTAGTTTATACATTGAAAGTCAATGGAATAAAAAAGATTCAAGCTCCAAAAAAGAGAAAAAGCATAAAAGTAATCTAAACAACTAGTGGTTGAAGAAAGAAGTACGCTTAAGTGTATTACATGCACTTGTAGTGTACTTCAAATTAAAAGTATGTTTAAAAAAAGTGTACTTGCAGATGATATAATACGGTATTAATGAAATGAAAGGCCACTTAAGTGTACTTAAAGAGAGTCAACTTTCATGACTGTTTCATTAAGTACACTTTATAAAGTAAACTTTTTATAATGTACAATTAAAAGTTTCACGTCAAATATTATATTGTAATCATATTTAAAATTTCTATTTAACTCAATAGAATTATAAAATTACATTATATACTTAAATCCTACTTAAGTGGGTCAAAAAGTCACTCTTAATTTCAGCTAATATTTTTATATTTACATTTAAACTACAATACATTTTCATTTAATAGCAATTAACATGCAATTACGTGTCTGAAAACATTGTTCAGTTCACACTTACTTCACAATATTCTTCTAAAGTATTTATTATTTCCTAAATAAATACAATTCTTAAAAGTATGCTACTTTTCAGCCAAATTGTGATTCCCCAATCAAATCAATCATTGATAAACTCATGTATGTGGAGCCCAAATCAAATATGATGACATCAGAAACATCAAACTTCACTGGTGTTTGTGTCATGACATCATGGTGTTTAGTCATGTGACTGTGACGTACACGAACCAATGAGGTTTGATGTTATTGACGTGTCACCATATTTTATTAAGCGTACTCCTCTCTTTAACCTCTAGTTGTTTAGATGAATTTTTTGCTTTTTCTCCTTTTTGGAGCTTGAAACTATTTTGTTCCATTGACTTTCAATGTATAAACTAAAATATATGAGTCATTCTTTAAAATATCTTCTGTTGTGTCTCACAATAGAGAGAAAGTCATACAGGTTTGGAGCGACTTGAGGAAGAGTAAATGATGATACTAATGATATAAAACTAGTTACTGATGAAATACTGCTGACATTCATTTCAGGAAACCATGAATCTGTGGTTTGAACCAGACAGTAAAAACTTACCATGCAAGATCTTTAACCTCCAGCAATTCTGGATTCATGTAACTTTAATGTTTGTATGACAGTAGTTTTATGTGTCATTTGCTGTCATTGGTTTGTCCTCCAGAAACAGCTGAAGGAGACGCAGATGAAGATCCGTCAGAGAATCCAGCAGAGACAGAAAGATCTTCATCAGCTGAGAGAGGCTGTGAAGTCTCATAAGGTGAGTCTGGAGAAGAAGAGAAGTGTGAGACGTCTCAGTTTGGACTCTGTCAGTCCTGCTGAAGCCACTGTGTGATTGTGATGTGTGTGTAACAGCGCTCTGCACAGACAGCAGTGGAGGACAGTGAGAGGATCTTCACTGAGATCATCCGCTCCATTGAGAGAAGCCGCTCTGAGGTCACACAGCGGATCAGAGATCAGGAAAAGACTGCAGTGAGTCGAGCTGAAGGACGACTGGAGCGACTGGAGCAGGAGATCAATGATCTGAGGAGGAGAGACGCTGAGCTGGAGCAGCTTTCACACACACAAGATCACATCCAGTTCCTGCAGGTAACAGAGATCTAGGAGAACAGGATCATAGTGGACTTGAGCAAGATCCTGCTATGACAGAGAAACATTTCATGAGAGCAGAATGAGCCGTTGACTGAGATGTTGTCAGGAATTCAGTCAGATTCAGTCGAGTGTTGTGTTATCATATAATCATCAGTCAGACGCTCATCTGATCATCTTCTGTTTAAAGAGACGCACTTACAAGGCCTGGGAAATTGACCATTAAAAATGAGCTGATTGTGTGAAAGTGCTGGATTGAAGCGAGTCACTGAAGAGAAGTCAAGTCTACAAGAGCCGCACAGATCTGATATAGTGCAGGTTATTGGCTGAAGTGTGGAGATGATGAGTTTTGATTTCTGTTTTCTGTAGAGTTTCCAGTCTCTCTCAGCACCTCCTGAATCTACAGACGAACCCGACGTTCCCTTCGGTTCTCTCTCCTCTTTTGATGGCATGAGAGAATCTGTCCGTCAGCTGAGAGACAAACTGGAGGATTTCTGCAAAGAGGAGATCAAGAAGATCTCAGACGGAGGTAAAGTCCTGCGCTCGTTTATACAGACGTGTGAGAAAGAGCCAAAATCTGAACGTACAACAGTTTCTGAAATATTCCAATGATTTACGTCCATTTGCACAAAACATTTTCAAAAACAGAGGAAAAAAACAGCACTAAACAGTTTATAATTCACAGTTCATCTTAAATTCAAGTGATCAAATCCACAATTATCCCTCATAAATACGGCACTCATCATCGTGGACAATGTTTATACATGATGTGAATGAAATCCATGGAATTTTGGATCAAGCCGATATGTGTGTTTGATAAACAAATATTTAAATAATAATTATTAAATAATATAAATGAAGCCCCTGGAGATTATTCATCAGCTCTCAGAAATGAGTCCATCATCTAATATCATACAGCATTATATTAGAAATGTCTCAGAAATGAATGTATTTTATCTTGTCATTTCTCTTCACACTGTTCATGTCTGTTTATTTCCACAGTCACTTTCACCAACATGAATCCCAAGACCAGGAACGACTTCCTACAATGTGAGTCACTAGAAAACAAGCAGGAAAACTCACTGAATGTGTTCATGTTCTTCCTGTAGAAGGAGAAATAAATCATGATAGAAGAGTTTTATAATTGATCATGTAAATGAGGATTTGCTCAGGATATTTGGTCATCTGTACTGAGACACTGATGATACACTGAACATTGATTCATGAGTTCAGAGACATTAAAAGATCAGACAGATTCATAATTCCTGTTTCTGATGTGTTTTCTCTCCATCAGATTCCCATCAGCTCACTCTGGATCTGAACACAGTGAATAAACGCCTCCGTCTGTCTGAGAGAAACAGAGTTATTACTGTCACTGACACAGAGCAGCCGTATCCTGATCATCCAGACAGATTTGAGTGTTATCCTCAGGTGTTGTGTAGAGAGAGTGTGTGTGGACGCTGTTACTGGGAGATTGAGTGGACTGGAGATGATGTGTATATATCAGTGTCATATAAGAGCATCAGCAGGAAGGGATCGGGTGATGAGTGTTTCTTTGGAGGTAATGATCAGTCCTGGAGTTTGTCCTGCTCTTCCTCCAGTTACACATTCTGGCACAATAACATTCACACTCCTCTCCCTGTAAAGTCCATCAGCAGAAGAATAGGAGTGTGTGTGGATCACAGTGCAGGAACTCTGTCCTTCTACAGCGTCTCTGACACAATGAGCCTCATCCACACAGTCCAGACCACATTCACTCAGCCGCTCTATCCTGGGTTTTGGGTTGATTATGGATCATCAGTGAAACTGTGTTGATGTTTCAGAACAGATATAGAGAGATTTTACCCATAATACTTTGAGCTGCACGATAAACCAGTAACAATGAGATGTTATAGAGACTCTTATTTCCTCTTCATTACATTAATACTGATGAACTTCACTGAAATAACACAGAATAAATGTGTGTATCAAATCCTCACAGAGACAATAAGAACAGTGTGTGTGTGTGTGTGTGTGTTTTTCTCAAACTCTGTTTTGATTAAAATCTCAAATTTATGTTTTGTAGTGATAGAATACATTATTTGTATTATTACTATCGAAAGTATCTCTCAGTTGAAATAAACAGAAGGCTCATTACTAAATGAACAGATTGAGGATAGTGTGGTTTTGAAGGAAATAACAGAAATGGTTGTGAACAATGTAAGGAGTGAAGATGTGGAAATGACATTAGTAGTGGAGAAAATAATGCTGGAAAACAATCACAGTTCAAAATGTGAGGAAAATTGTGATGCAGAAGATGAGGGATGAAGAAGCACTTTCTGAGATTTCAGATATTGGGTCACAAGGGATTGAAATCATGAACTCTAGAAGAAATAAATGACTTTCACAACGTTTGATAAAGTTGTTGATGTGAAATAGTTCTGTCCAGATATGGAGAAATGTATCAGTGTTGTTGTAGAAAGCAGTGAGCTCTAGTTCTGGATAAAAATAAATGATTGCAGCTGAAAAAGATGCTGATGAAATTAAGGAAAATAAAAGTGCAACTTCACAAAAATATTTACTGTCTTCTTCTTGCTTCTGTATATGTGTGTGTGGAGAGTCTGATCATCATGAGAACATGATGAAACCTGTGTAAAATCAGGGCATGTGTGTGTAGATGTAGCGAGGGCAGGGAGAGACACATGATTCAAATTACTGTTTGTTCACCATTACACTCCTGTCAGTCCAGAATGTAGAAAACAACTAAAGTATCAAATGAACATTTATGTAAAAAAATAACAATATAAAAAAATAAAATAAAAATAGCAATAAAATACAGAAATAAAAGTGCTTTATAATATCAAGGCAATTATATGAATTTGAAAAGCTTTAAAATTGTATTGTTGTTTGTAAGCTTTTTGTTTTATGATCTCTCGTTTGAAAGAGTTTCAAAGTATATTGTGAGTTCGGTGTTATAAAAGGTAATAATCGAGGCTTTCTTTTGACTTTTTGTCTTATGAATATAAAACTTCGCCAAAATAATTAAAATATATAATATAATTTTGTTTTTCAGAAAAAAATATGGGTTTTGAAAACAAAGTAAAAGTCATGTCATGTCTATTTTAAAGTCAGTCCAAAAGAGAAAGAAGAAATAGAAAAAAGGGAATACAACATTTTATTTATTTATTTAATAAACCATAACAATAAGCTGGTTTACAATTTAAATGTTGTGCCGAACCATATTCTCCATGTATAATGACTTCTGATTTATATTAGCATTGTTCACCACAATAAACATGGAGTCGCTTTCATTCCGCGTCTGTTTTCCGGAAACCCCCGAATGACGTTCGACTCGTGTTCGGCTCTTGTAAACAAGGTCAAGTGTTCGCTGCGGTCTTCATTCTCCACTTGACTCGCTAGACACTTTCTGACACTTTCTCCTGCGAAGGATCCATCCAGCGACACAGCACACCTCCTGCAGGTACAGCGATGATTGCATCTATGCCATATATGCAGCTACGCATGCTGATTTATTTCTGCATGTCTATTTCTCGCACATATTTTGCAGCATGTTGTTTTCTCATACGTCGCAAAAAGATATCATGGCGTTGTTGACACACTCTCAGTGTGAAGCTCCTGCAGATGCTGTTGTGTCGGACTGATTTGAGAATGTCATTCAAGGGCATTACCTCATCAATACACACGAAAGATCTTGTGCAGTGCAGCAAAGTCATGTGTCTCTTCCAGCATTTACTCAGCAGGGCTAGACTGTTAGTCAGCGTTACAGTGCAGTCATAACATTACAAAGATTTTCATTATATTAAATGCTTGATGATATTCACAATCCTTTTGAAGTTCAGCATCAATGCAGATATTTAACTCATGACACTAGGCTACAGTAGGAGCCCATGCTAATGCTCTTTTGTTTTTCTCTCTTCAGGAATGAAACTGCAAATAATTATAATTGGTATTCAGTCATATTTCACAATACATTTAGGATTGCTCTGTATAATACTCTGCCACTGAGATATTAATTCCTGAATCTATGTTATATTTAATGGCTCATTTAGTTCACAGTTAATTAGCAACTATATTCTTCCTTGTATTAATATAAGTCAGGCTGTTAGGTCTTCAACAGGAGTTGTTTGGATAATCCTCCACCAGACTGAATTACAGACTGCTTTGCGTCACGTGTGCGTTCATCCCCATGTTTATAGTCCATTCAAATGATGGACAAGTTGCTTTTGCATAGATAGTTATTTTTCATAATGATCTGAAAGATGCTGATGGATTTCAGGATTTCTGTGAGCACCAGCCATGATGATGCAGTGTCTTCAGTTTCTGGTCGAACCAACCAAGAACATTGCAGAGAAGTTTAAGGTACCTTGCAAAAATATCTCGGTAGTCTAAGTGGCTTACAAACAATGATGAAAAAAGACGGACATCAGGGGAACCTGTTGCTTTAAAAGCTTTGACATTAGTTGGCATAACAAACTTAAAGTTTGTCCTTCTTTTGTCTATCCTGAAGTCCAAAAGTGAAATAAAAGGCCTGTTTAGCTGGTCATTGTAACTGATTTCAATAGCGGTGAGTCTTTTGCTGCTCATGAGACTTACGACAGAGAAAGTAGATCACGCATGAGCTGCATTTTAATCAAACACTGTCCTTGATTGTTTGCCGTAGCCTTCATGAACAACATAAACTGTCTGAAATGACAACATGGCTGCGTCCGAAACCGCATACTTCCCTACTATATAGTAGGCAAAAAGCAGTAGGCGAACAATTAGTATGTCCGAATCCTCAGTATTCATAAAACAGTAGGAGAGAAATATCTGGATGGTGTACTAATTCTTGCGAGATTCAGACATGCATATATTGCGTCCGAATATGCCTACTTACCTACTTTATAATAGGAGAAAACAGTACGTGAAAAGAGTAGTATGTCCGAATCCTCAGTATTCATAAAACATTAGGAGAAAAATCCCCAGATGGCCTGCTGCTTTCTCCCAGATTCTGAAGTGTGCATCCGATGGACACTTTTCTGTCCCAGGACGCCACGGGAGAGGATACGTCATAATCGAATATGGAGAAGGACAGCGATGCGTGTGTTTTCAAATGTGAGTAAACATGGTTCCTTGTGTCGCATTTGTTGAACTACTGTAGAGTAAACTGTTGAATTGTTGAATGTGTAAAGACACTAGATAGTAGGGGTGTCACAATATGTCACAATCCAAAAATGCAACAATGTATCATGGATAGTGACAATATGTATTGTGGATAGTTCACCCCAAATAAAAATTACTGTTTGAGAAAAAAGTTTACATTAAACTTCTATATATAATGTTGAATATAATGCAATGGGGGAATATTTGTAAGTCCTGATAATGCTAAATGTCTTATGTTACCAGTAAAAGTGGCTTACATTATTTTAAATATATCTAGTCAGTGAAAGAGTGCAAGCATATTCGTGTAACATAATGTTTTCAGTTTCAGAAGCATGAATACTTTTAAACTGGTGTCACTATTGTCCTGTGCATTGGGTTTCCAGAACCAAGTCCAAGCCTATTCATTTACCATGTGTCTTGAAATATCGCAATAAAATCTTATTGTGAATTCAGTATCGTGATATGTATCGAATCGTGCCATGAGGGGATCGTTAAACCCTACTAGATAGTATAGCATATTGCTGTAAAAACACGTTTTATTATGTATAACTAACAGGGAAGCTCCAGTAAGCACACGTACGTCTCCAAAGTGGATTTACATAAATCTTAAAGATGCTTACTGAATGTCTATTTTACATCTGACAGGAAAATCTTGGATAAGTATTGCAGATGAGCATATCAAAACATGAAATAGACATCTGAGTGATGTGTGTGTGTGTGCTATTATGTAGAATTCACTGTTGTCAACACTGTTTACATTAGATAAATGTCAGTAATGTAAATAAACAAATCTACATAAAGTAACTAAACATATTATATATTTTATTTGTCCATTAGTACTGTTGATAAATTGAGGAACATTTGTGTTCTACATATGTTTCTACAGTATAATTTTAGAGTGATCTATTATCAGAGGTGACTGTGTCCGATTTATGTCCATTTCAGAAACGAACAGTTCAAGATAATAGAAATCATACTCGGTTACTTGCGTAACCTCGATTCCCTGAGAATAACGGGAACGAGTATTGCTTCACTAGACGCTATGGGAAATCTCCTTTTGAATTTTGAAGCCTGTATTTTAAAGCGCAGTGCATCTGCCCAACCAGCATAGTGCAGAGCTATAAGCCTGCTGATTGGCTGGGCTGCGGGAACTGCATGAACCTATGGCGAGGTGGCGTGGCAGGGCGTGTCGCGCAACCAGTAAGCTGAGCCCGCCAAAATGAGTGGAGCTACTGACTATACAAGCGGCCCATTTCGTCATAGTCATCAGATTAGTTCAACTAAAGCAACAATACCTGGACGTGAAGCTCAATAGCACGACTGTCTACGCAATACTCGTTCCCGTTATACTATGGAATCCGAGGTTACGTGAGTAACCGAGTACGTTCCCTTTCGAAAACGGTTCACTCGTATTGTGTACCCAATTCAATCACGCCGTGCTATTTTAGCTGACGTATTCGCTTTGAACTCCCGCCTGAGGCTGCAAGGCCTGAGGCTTAGAGTAGAACTTTTAAGTCAGAAGTCCAACAGATGCAGATGTCGGGGCCCACAAAAGGAATAACTAGTGGTTTGGGCTCTTTAGAGGCCAGCACCCACTTAGATAGAAAGGACTCGTACCTCACAAATGTGGACGGGAAGACCAGCCGGCCACCGCGCAAATGTCTCAAATTGGTACACCACTGGACTATGCCCATGAAGAGGGCGCTTGTAAATCGCCCACTTGCTTGACCGATGCTAGGGCTAGCAGGAGTGCGGCTTTGAGCAAAAGTGGCTTTAAGTCAGCTGACTGAAGCGGCTCGAAAGGGGGTCCCCTAAGGGCCCTGAGGGCCGTGGATAGGTCCCATGAGGGTATAGAGGGAGGACGAGGCGGGTTCAGCCTTCTAGCCCCCTTGAGGAAGCATACGACCAGGTCGTTCCTTCCTAAGGATTGGCCGGCCACAGGAGCATGGAAGACTGCTATGGCCACCACGTATACCTTCAGCATGGAGGGGGTACGATTCCGCGTCCAGTCGCTCTTGTAGAATAGAAAGAACCAGTGGTATTTCACATGAGTAGGGGTCTAGGTTCCGAGCTGAGCACCAGCTGGTGAGAAGATTATGAATATTTGGATCAGTTAATGGGATTAACTTAATATAGTAAATTACTGTTACAATCAATCAACCTGTTCGTCCTGTGAACACTGAGCCCGACCAATCCTCGCCTTCAGAGGCTGCCAATGACATGCTTTCATCGTGACACTTATAGCTCTGCACTATGCTGGTTGTGCACTTGCACTGCGTTTTAAAATAAAGGCTTCATTATTCTCGTAAAAAGGAGATTTCCCATAGCATCTAGCAACGCAATACGAGTGAACCATTTTCGAAAGGGAACATGCAGTTAGCTAACATGTATTAATTTTAGGTCAATCAATGAGCTCCTTAAAGCAATTATTACAAGTTGTGATCATAATTTTTAGAATATATAGAAGTTTTCTATATAGTGTTGGATAAAAAGTGAGTCAACACATCAGCAACAACCTCATCATGTAAATGTAAATCACAGAGGTCTTGTCTGTATGTTACAGGGACAGATGAACACATGTGTTTATCCGATGGAGAGTGGCTCATTGAGGCTTTGAGTGAGTATACTACAGAAATGAACAAAACATATATTTAAATCTTAAGTTGAACTTTGCTTTAATTATTGTAATTTCAAACAAAACTCTGTTTGAGCAGCACTTTTCTAATTCTTGATTTCTGTGCATCTGCTGCAGATCTTTTGTGGTGGAGCAGGGCCTGCAAGGAAAGGTGACGGTGGCATTTGTGGGGGGAAAAAATGGGAATAGCTGATACAAAAATGCTGCTTTTTTATTATTTTCTATTGACTGCTTTTGTATTATGTTTGTGCGTTTTTGTAGGATCTGAAATGTCGGCAGACTGGTGTGAGCACTGAGGTTTAAGAGCCACAGCATCCTGGAAATGCTAAAGTGCCATGGATGAGACCCTGACATATCACCTTTTTTGTTCAGGAAAAAACCCCCCCAAAAAACCCCACAGTGATCAAACAACGTGAAGGCGAGTAAATAATGACTGAGTTAATTGGCACAGCTGTGTTGAGATGGCAGTGTGGGGTTCACCGCATGTAAATACGTGATTGTTAGAACAATAAGTTTGAATAAAGCTTTGTTTCATGTGTTGTTGACTTGTATATGTATTTATTTATTGTGATGGTTACTTTCATTCATTCTTTCACTCATTAATTCATGTTTACTATTGTTGTCAGTAAGTAAAATATAATTATTTCATTAATGTATGGATTAAGTCATTGCTTGACTGAAAATTGAGATGTATTCACATCGGCTGCATTTGTCTAGTGTGTATTCATGCATATCTATGTCATATGACAGAACAAATTAAATTACATTTAGCTTGTTTTACTGTAATATATTTTCTTTTTTTTTAAAATATAATTAAGTGTTGGTCTGCATTTATTATTATTATTGTGTGTAAGTGTTGGGGTCGGCTAGCAATTCAATTCATTTTGGGGTAATCTTAATATTTAAGTTGTGATACTTAATTTTTCGAGTATAAAATCAACAGTGTTCTCCAAAGGCGAGATCTTCGAGTAGCGGCCCATCTCCTTTGTGCAGACATTACAAACGCTGAGGGAAACCATACTAGGTAGGGCTGTCGAGTTACTGATGTTAGTGCACCTGTCGCTTAAACCTTGTTTTTTTTTTTCGAGGTATCAAAAAGTACAGAAAATGTCAAAATTACATACAAAGCATGAAAACTTTAACAAAATATACAAAAAAGGTGAAATAAGTTCTTAGGATGAAATATTTTGGATGTAGCCCTACTGTTGAACCTCTCTTTTAAAAATAATAAATGAAGGATTTTGATGAGTGAATTTGCTGTGGTGAATATGAAATTTCACAAAACAGATTAACAAAAAAGTATTCATTTATTTTAGCTTTTTGTATATTAAAGAAGCCAAACGCTGCATCCTTAAAAGAACAGGGAGAAACACGGGAGAACATTAATAAATTCAATCCAAAATAAATTGTCGCTCATACCTTTTAAGTTCTTGCACTTGTTATTACGTCGTAGGTCACATGATAACGTTAACAAGGTGTATGATGACTATATAGTATGTAATCTTTTAGCGTTCGCTAAACAAGTACTTATTGAAATTAAATACTTAATCAGAGAGTATGTGATTTCGGATACAGCCATAGTCTCATGTAGTCAAACTTTTGACTTTCAGCATAAAGTCTGGTCCACATTACAGCTCACTGTAGTCAAGAACCGCACACACGACAGGAATACACCATACATGAAAAGGCCAATCACAGTTTGCTTTGTTTTAATGTGTCGTTCAGGGGATTTCTGTCCATCATAAGGAAAATGCACAGATTGATTAATCTGACAGGGCCTGTGGACAGTCCGTCACTGAGACTGGAAATGAAATAGCTTTAATAATGTTTTTTTTTTTGTGTGTACAGGATTTTCGTAAGAAGGCGAAGAATGAAAAGAGAGAACCGCTGGATGAGAGCCAGCAGTTCATTGTGGACCTCGCCAAGGATCTGGGACGCGTCTGTCAGGTACAGCCGCAGACACATGACCAATACAGTATAAATCAGAGCTGATGGCCGAATAATCACATCCAGAAAAGGTTGGGAAAAATCAGAATTTAAAGGGGTCATGACATGAGAAATCAAATTTACCTTGATCTTTTGACATGTAAAACAAAGAATTTTTTTGATCAAGCTCCAAAAACAGCTCGTTTTGATATTACAGGATCTGTGATGTCACACAGGCAAATACATTTGCATATGACCGCCTCCAGAGCAAGACATCAATGTTCATCACACCATAGGCGATCCCCGCAAGTGAATAGAGCCCATTATAGAATAGAATAGATTTATTGTCATTGCACAACTGTGCAATTAAATTTTGTGCTTCTCCTCAGTGGTACATTCACATAAAAACATGTATACAGACGCAGAACATAAAGTATAAATAGTAAAATATAGTCTATAAGAAAAATATATTAATTAAAACTTTTTAAGTAGAATTAAGTTCCTTGATGGCATGTGGGTAAAACTGTTCAGGAGTCTGGAGGTGCGTGTCCTAAGAGACCGGTAACGCTCTCCAGATGGCAGAAGAGTGAAGAGATGATTGCATGGATGAGAGGAATCCTTTATATTTCTGGCACGCCGTAGGCATCTGGTTCTGTAAATTTCCTCGAGCGAAGGCAGCTTAAGCCGATGATTCTCTGTGCCGAGTTGATGACTCTCTGCAGAGCTTTTCTCTCTGCCACAGTGCATCCAGCAGACCACACCTGGTAAGTCCGCATTCGACAGAGCAATGGTAGAAGCACACAAGCCGCTGCTGTGACAGATTTTCCTCAGTGACCTTAGAAAGTACAGCCGCTGCTGTGCCTTCTTCACCAGAGAAAGTGTGTTAACAGTCCATGCGAGTTCCTGGGAAATATATGTGGCGAGAAATGTAAAGATGGTCACCCTCTCCACTCTTTCTTCCATGATATAGAAGGGGGCAGGTTCCTCCTCCTGTTTCTGGAAATGAATAATAAGCTCCTTTGTCTTGGAGGTATTGAGTTGTTACAGATGCACAATTCTGAAAGTTCAGAATTCCTGTCGGCCCGGTGCTTTGTGCGGCTATTATCATGATCAAGCAGTCTTTCACCAGTTTTTGCTCCGCGTTTACCAGCTCCAGTCTTTCCGTTGTGTTGCTGTTCGATCTGACGTTTGGTCAGATCGAAGGGGTGCTTTCCTTAGCCTTGTTTATAATCCCTCCCGGCAGCCCCCGCTTCTGCCTCCTTTCCCTACGCCGCAGGACAAGCGATCTCCTTCGGAATTTGTTCCCTATAATAGTTCCGGATAAAGTCCAGTTCAAAACATTGTGATTGTATATCGAGTTGCTAATCGACAAACAGGCATACAAAACAAACAAAATAAAAAAAATTAAAAATGTTTCGAGCAGAGCAATGTACGTGCGCGCCACCATCTTAGATGATATTATAATCACTGACGCTGTCTACACTGATACAGTTTACAGATTTGCTTTCAGCTTACGACATTCTCCACATGCCTGAGTCTGCAGACAACAGGAGGACAAATGGAAGAGTGAAAGAACGTCCTGTTTAAACAGCTTAAAACACTTACCCAGGTTCAATAGCGAGTGGCTGTTGATACTGTTTCCTATGCAATAACGTCAGCCAATCATAACAGTGGCCGTTTACTGACAAGCCTTAAAGGGATACTCCACTTTTTTTGGAAATAGGCTCATCAAGAAACTTTACTGCCGTACCATGAGTGCAGCAGGCGTAATGATATGACGCAGCGCCTGAAAATAGGCCACCTTCCGTCAACACAACGGAACTATTTTCAGGCGCTGCGTCATATCATTACGCCTGCTGCACTCATGGTACAGCAGTAAAGTTTCTTGATTATTACGCAGGAATGAGAGTATAGTTCCTAGCCATATCCGCCTAGAAAATCGCAACTTTACATTTTCCGTCGGTCTTAGTGCACGATGTAACTACAGAAGAGTCAAGTTTTAAATAGGAAAAATATCGAAACACTTTGGTCATTTTTTAATGAGAAATGCTAATGGTCTTGTCCACTTCAATGATGTATGCTAAGCTATGCTAAAAGTGGTACCGCCAGAACCGGAGATCGGCTGAATGGATTCAAAAACGGTAAAACTCAACAGTTTAACTCTGGGGGAGTTGTAAATTGAGCCTATTTCCAAAAAAAGTGGAGTATCCCTTTAAAAACCCATCATTTCAGACAGGGGCAGAAGGAGGGTTGAAAATAATTGTTTTTCCACATATGTAATTTTTTTTTGTGCAATATACTTTATTAATATTTAAGTGAACCTCAGGGAACATATTAAAATAAAAAATTAAAATCCATGTCATGATCCTTTTAATTGGCTTCCATTTTGAAGTGGAATTTAAATGACAGGAAAACAAATTCAATGATATATTCACAAAAAAAAAGAAAAAAAAGAAAAAAAAAATATATATATATACAGTATATATACACACTATACACGTGTGTGTGTGTGTGTTGTGTGTGTGTCTTCTCTCCTGCTGGTCACAGAGGTCGGAGGTTTTGGAGCACGTCTCAAATAGTGAGGATGTTTGGCCGACTCTCGCCTGCAGGGCCTTCCTTCTGGAGTGGGCATCTCTGCTAGAGAGCAAGGTGAGATACACAATTACACATTTATACCTTTACTGAAATCTTTCTGCACCCACTGAAACCAAATGCTGCAAATCACTAGGTTTTCTCACCAAATATTGTTATAACAGAAAAGACCAATGCAGACGGACGGCTGGCCAGAGAGCAGCGACTGGAAGGATCAGGACATAGAGAACGCCAAGAGACTTATCCTCACCTGGACCAAAGACCTGAGGGCCCAACCTGAGGTACTCACACTTCAAACTGGATCTGCCTGAAAAATACCTTCTCCTTGGCTTTCTGCCCTAGAACGCTTACTGTATGGTATTTGATGATCAAGTTTCTAAGGCCTCTAAAGTAAATGATCGACATGATCAAAACTTTGCTGAAAAACACACGATCTACCACATGCCTTCTGTCATCTGATTGATAGTTTATACTTTTTTAGCATGTAAAAGGCTTTTTAGTGTAATTGTAAAAATGCCAACCTCCAGCTCGTGGTTCACGTGTTTTTCCTCTGTGAAATCTTTACTGATTTTTATAAAGTAAACGTCAGAATAACTTTTATATTGTTGGTAATATTTCAAGATGAACACCTTCTGGACTGAAGCAATTTAGGATTATCCATACAAATGTTTTTTTTTTAGAAATATTTACATTATACATAATACAAACTATCTAAACTAATATCAGCATCTGCACCAAATTGCATATTTATTTTGCTCAGTTTGGAGACTATGGGTTTGGCCTCTGAGGGGGCCCAACTTATAGAGAATGGTCTCTCAACTGAGGTTGTTGAGACCATTCTTAGCTCCAGAGCTCCAGCTACGAGGAAATGATATGCACTAAAGTGGAGAGTTTTCACGTCTTGGTGTCACCAGCATCAGTGGGATCCAGTTTACTGTTCAGTTAGTACAGTACTTGAGTTTCTCCAAGATCGCTTTGCATCAGGTTTATGTCCATCTACCTTAAAGGTCTACGTGGCAGCCCATGCGGCTTTCCATGCCCCGGTGGGTGTTACATCTTTGGGTCGAGACCCCCTGATCATACGTTTCCTTCGTGGCACCGTGAGGCTGAGGCCTGCACACTCACACTAGGGTGCCGGCTTGGGACCTGGCAATAGTTTTGGAAGGCCTTTCAGGGGCTCCCTTTGAGCCTCTAGAGTCGGTTGCAGAGAAATTTCTGACATTCAAGACCATCTTTCTTCTAGCTATTTCGTTTTTCAAAAGAGTCGGAGACCTTCAGGCCCTTTCGGTTTCTCCCACCTGCCTTGAATTTGCACCCGGAATGGTCAAAGCATTCTTATACCCTAGACAGGGATATGTCCCTAAGGTGCCAACCAATTTTCCGAGGCCTATTGTGCTGCAGGCGAGCAGCACTTATGTCTATATATTATGTCGACACTTCTGCCCCGTGGAGAATATCTGATCAGTTATTTGTCTGCTTTGGATCACCTAAGAAAGGTCTTCCAACCTCTAAGCAAACAATCAGTAAGTGGATAGTTGAGGCTATCTCTCTTGCTTATGAGTCCTCTGGCCAGCCGTGTCCTTTGGTGGTCAGAGCTCATTCTACTAGGGGTATGGCGGCCTCTAAAGCCTTATTATCTAGGGTTTCCCTTGAGGAGGTTACTAGGTTTCCTCGCCGCTCACATTCGTGAGGTTTTATAGCCTGGACCTGGATGCTGCCCCAGGTTCTCAGGTGCTTTTTACTTAGATTGGCGACAGTATCACATACAGGCAATTGCAAGTATGGCGTATTGGGTATTCTCGTTCCCAAGGCGTCGTCGACGCAGCGCGAGTTCCCTCGAAAGGGAACGTCTCAGGTTACGACTGTAACCCTAGTTCCCTGAGAAGGGAACGAGACGCTGCATCTCCCTGCCATACTTCCTGCATCCCTGTGATCGACTTTGCTTCGGCTCTTAGATGCTAATGCCGGTTGCACCGGATGTGCTTTTATCCTTTCCTGGTCATTACGTCACCCGCCCGTGACACTCATTCTTTCCATTGGACTAGTTGACATACGTGCTTCAGACGTAATCACGCAGAGGCGTTCCCAAGGCGTCCTCGACACAACGTCTTGTTCCCTTCTCAGGGAACTAGGGTTACAATCGTAACCTGAGGGTTATAGTCGTAACCTGAGACGTTTGGGCCTCTTTTAAATATGGGCTCCATATTGTCACTATATCATACTGTAAACCTGAATAAGTTATCAAAACTAAAAAAAATCGAGGAAATCAGTAAATTAAAAAATGTATAAAACAGAACTTCAGCTAATTCATACACATTACATACACAACACATACTTAAAATTGTTATGTAATCTCAACTTAAATATTTTTAGTAGTGTAAACTTAGTAACAATAAATGCTACCTTGCTAATTGATAACATCATGCTTTGATAGCAGTGCTGAATGAGTACAATAAAATAAATGAGTACAATAGTGCAATAAAACATTTAACATCTGTTCGCAAACTAAGCTCATGCTGAACAAGAAACTTCAACAGAAACTCTTCTAAACTAGCATAACAAAATATTAAACACTACTAAATCTCCCACTTAACATTAATATTGCACAAAAACAAAACATTATATAACACTTAATTTTAGCTTTTACTTTCCCTTTTGAGTGTCATGGCAAAGCATGCTGGGAAATAGAAATCCCAGCTCAGTTTCAGTTAAATTTAAATTTGTCTAAATTAAAAAGTTTGTTCAAAACACAAAACAATGAAACAATTGAGATTACTTAAAATGTGTCAGTTTTGTGAACTCAAAAGAAAAAGAAATGTCTGAATACTCAAAAAAGTTAATTTGATTGAACTAACTTGTTTAATTTGAGTTGGCTCTACTCAAACCTATTAATTAGGGTTTTTAAGTTAAGGTTTACACTGTATATGTTCCATAAAAGCCTGATGGATCAAATATGATCAAATATGATATGACGCATATGGAAACTTTCATGTTTTTTAAAGGTTCAATAAACTGTTCCATTTCACAAAAATGGACATATTGCCTCTATGTCAAGCTTTACAGGGTTAAAGGAAGAAAATGAAAAAATGTCAAAACCCGTAGAGCCGAGCTTCCTTTGTGTTCAGTGGAGAAAAGTATCAGCGTACAGGTTTTAAATGACATCCTCAGATCTGTATGCTATTATTTTTGAATATTGTTTTTTGGTGGTGAATAGTTGCATGTCAGTTGCATTAAGTGGCATCTTTTCATCATCTTGTGTGCAGCAAAGTGTCTGGCCTGGAGAGCAGGTGGTGGCAGTTTTGGATGACTTCGAGACGCACTGGAAAAGAGGACGGATGTCCACCCTGCAGTCGGCCGTTGAGCTGGTGTTCTGGACACTCATCAACAAAGAACTAGACAAGGTATGAAGGAAGTCACATCACAGGAACTTAAGGGGAGGATTCAGCCAACAAACGGCTTTACAGTAACACAAAACCTTTCTGATTTATCTGTGTGTTCAGGAAAACATTCCCCAAAAGTGGCTCATGTGGAAACAGAGGAGCCAGAAAATAGGTCAGATCATCTCTTCAGTGTCTTGAATCAAAAAAAAAAAAAGATGTCAAAGGTGCTATAAACGCCATTGTCTACAAACCTGAATCCGTTAAAAAGGAAGGATTTGTTACAAAGTGCGAGGGAAGGATGAAGGTTAAAGGCCGAGAGCGTTTCTGATTGGGTAAAACGTGTGCTGCTCCCCTCACATGTGATGCACATAAACACAATATTTTCATTGCATTCAAGAGTTTAGCATCCATATAACACTTGCAGTGTATCGATTTAGATGAAAATATATTCATGTGTCTGTCAGGTGGTGGGTATATGTTATGCATGGTATTAAAAAATCCTTAATTTTTAATATTTTTCGTTCAATTCTCTTTTTTGTTGTTGTTTTTCACTCACTAGGTGCCACCCCATATATTCCTCACATTGGTGAGTCACATGTTAGTGCTTCTGAATATATTGATTGATTGATTATTAATATTCAGTGTGAACTTGAGCTAATTGTTGTCTTTGTTGTATTTAGTATGGGACTGGATCTGTGATGCAGGAGGTAATACATGTGCTCTGATGAGCAGCATTGCTGACTACAAAGACAGCTTTAAAGCATCATCCTTACTGTAACAGAGCCTCATTATTAGGCAGCATCATACAAATAGTGTTTCTCACATGAGATTCAACTCACATTTGACAAGATTGCGCCTTCAATAGATACACTAACGTTCAAAAGTTTGGGGTCGTTAAGATTTTTTTATGTTTTAGAAAAAATAAATATCCCATGTTGACCAAAGCTGCATTTATTTGATAAAAATTTCAGTAATATTTAAAGACTGATATTATACAGAGATCATACTATCCTTACTAATATTAAATCACATTTTACATTTCACATTGTCTGTGAAACCAGGGCAAAATGTCTTAAGTGTCACTTTTGATCAATAAAATACATAATTGCTGGACAAAAGTGCTGATTTTTGAATAGATGTGTTAATAAAATTTGCCATTAGCATGTTGCTAAGTAACAGTGAAATTCTAATAAGTAAAAATACACATCACAGACAAATACTGAGTAAAATTCAGATTTCATGAGCTATTTACTTGTAATTATACCGAAAGATACTAAAATACGATTTAATACCAAAAAGTAATCTGCCAGCTTGTCGCAAAGCATTATGGGATTACAAGTATAGCATCACATACAAATATACATACTGGTATACTGATAGAATTTAGTCTGAATTATAAATAGAGTCTGAAAAGTATTCTAGAATTAGAATTTTGTATAAAGGCCCTCACACACACCAAGCTGATTCAACGAGAGCTGTACTCTGATTGGCTGTTCAGTTTAGTAACGAGTCAGTGCACGAGAACAAAAGCAAAAGGGATGAAAGCAAAGCAAAGAAGTCAAGACGGTAAGGCGCGAATATTTTCATAATAACATGAGCCGCCTGGAAAAAAAGGAAGTGATCAGCGTGATTGATATTCAAAATGGTAAGCAAGCGCTGCTTTATTTACAGTTTGTAAATCAGCAGGACTATTTTTGGTTTTCCTTTTTGAATGACGAAAATAGACCATTGATGTAGACAGTTCTTTCCTTACATGATGCAGGTGCAGAACGCAGTGCTAGTTGACAGTCACCTTTAGTCCTTTTAGTGTGTTCTTCGGCCGAGACGCAACTAACGTATCAGCTTTCGTCACCTCTAGTTATTTGACATTGGCTTGGTGTGTCCCGGGCTTAAAAATGGTATCCTTTAAACCATATATACGCTTTGTATCGAAATCAAGGCTTACATGCGGCCTACATTTGCTGCTCTTTAGCCAATTTGAACGATTCATAGTTTATAATTTGATTCTCCATTCATTCCTTCATAGTGGAGGTGACCCTTGACCTGGACACGGCCAATCCCGACCTGCTGATCTCCGAGGACGAGAGGCGCATGCGCTGTGGTTTCAAGCGCAAAGACGTGCCCAACTATCACCAGCGCTTCGACGGTTGGTGGTGCGCGGTCGGGTCCGAAGGCTTCGCCTCTGGCCGCCAGTACTGGGAGGTGGATGTTGGAGAAATGGACTGGCGTATCGGCGTGGCGAAAGAGTCAGCTTTACGTAAGGGCTTCAAGTCCCTGAACACCGACACGGGATACCTGAGCCTTCGGCTGGAGCGCGGCACGGAGCTGAAGGCCCTCACCGTGCCCTTCACCGGCCTGCCGGCCTCCTTAATTCCTCGAAAGGTCGGCGTCTACCTTGACTTCGGCCTGGGCCAGCTGTCCTTCTATGACGTGGAGAACCGCTCGCACATCTACACCTACAACGAGACATTCGACGAGAAGCTCTTCCCGCTCTTCGGAACGGTGGAGATCGGGAAGGACCTGGTGGTCAAATCTCCGGGGAACAGGAGCCAATGCCTGTGTCCCGCGATGTGCCTGTGGGGTTGAGGTCCCATCGACTCCAACCAGAGCCCAGTGCTTAATCTCTAGAGCAGTGGTTCTCAACCGGTCGCAGCCTGAAAAATGTTACGCTTCGTTCAGAGAGATAGCAGGGGCAAACATGCAAAAAAGTGCAACAAATACATTTTTATGAAGTATACTTTGGGCTTCCCACTCCTAGCGGAAGAAAGCTGTGTTCTGTGAATAAGACGTCGGATTCATTAGTCGCCATTGGTTAATAACTAGAAAATAGGGTAAAAACTATTTGCGCTATAAACCATGAGTTTAGTAATTAAGAAAGTACAATATTAAGCAGCACAACGGACTGTTTTTGAACATCTAAAATAACTGGAAGTGGACGAGACCGGAAGCCTCTTACGTTGAAAAAAAGAGGGATGGTTAGGGTGGCAAAGCAAGTGGGATTGTCAACTTTTAAAGGGGCTTTATGTACGAATTTTCATGTATCGTTTGCTTTTTTATAGCCAGCGTGTAACAAAAAAAAAAAAATCTTCCCCGACTTCCTAGCCTGTATAGACTGAATTCATGCGAAGGACTCGGGTCGTTTTTCCCGTTAAAATCCAAAAGATGTGACGTTTATGCGCGCTCCCGAAAGCACATGATGCTTAGGTTCAGGATAATGCCGAAAGAGTCATTCTGTACTGTAATTATTCTAATTCAAACTATAGTCTCACGTAGCCTAATAATCAAACTATCATAACAGTGTGATTTTAATGACCTCATCTGTCGACATGATGCCAGTGAATCGCAGAGCTGAAGCAAACATCCACATCACTATGATCATATGCTTTCTTACCTGCTGTTTTCTCACTGCTGTCATTTTTCGTTGTGTTTTATTTTGTTATTAAGAGGAAAGCGAGCAGCACATATTTACATATTCGTCTAACTGTCGCTCTCAGTAGCGTGGATGGCGTCGGGATGTTCGCTAACAGAATATCACTGCAAAGCTATTTACAACTTCTTGTACTTCTAAGCGAAGAAAGAAAAAAAAAAAACGCTGCTATGATCAAGGCCTTGAATCACATTCAGTCTCCTGTACGTTACGTGTTCACGAGTGCGAGCACAAGCAACTGCAGTTCACTTAACGGCCACCGGTATCGCTAAAAACAAGGGTTTCTACCATAGACTGTAAAAAAATATGGACGACGCCCCTTCGCTCTTTTCCATTGGAGAGAACTGAAGCCGCCAGTGTCCCGATATGGCGCTGACATATTGGAACTTGAGTTTGCGCTGTAGCGTTTTCGGGACCAGTCATGCGCAGTCGTGAGCAGGAAGTAAAGCCGCGAAATCAAGGCCCCGCCCCCACTCTCGCAGAATCAATCGCAAGCACACGCCCTGCACTTTTCTTAAGTGGCCTTGTCTGCTCCGTTCCTCTCCAATGATGTCTGCTGATTGCAGTACCTCGTTAAAATAAGGTAACTACAACTACTAACCACATAGTCAACATTATGAAAAAAAGTCCGTTGGTGCTTCTGTGACTACTTCGCACAGAGAAGCTGTCAATCACAGCTGTCAATCATGATGTCACAGCACCATTTTTATAGCATCAAATAACTAACTAAAAACAAACTTATTTTTGAAAACAAACACTTGAAATTACATCAACGTGATATAAACTACAGTAAATGACAGAAACTATCTTTAGAAAAAAGATATGTGAAGTGTAATTTAATTATTTAGTTGGTCTCACGTCCCGTTGAATAACACGGGGAGGCGGGGCTTATGACCTATACTAGGACCGGTCACCGGGGGGCGATCGAGACGTTTTGGCTTCACTTTTGAGGGCTTGTGCGGCACGCTTGGTTTCTACATAAAGCCCCTTTAAAAAGGGAACACAACACTAGTGGTATTTTGGCGCAAACACGTTCGTCACTTGCTCGACAGACATCCGCTCATTCTCGGAAACCATGAACAAAATAAAGCAACGTCAAATAAAATGTGACGCAGACTACATTAAACCCAGGTTCACTTTTAATGGTTTGTGACCACCACAATGTGGCTGGTGAGAAACAATTGAAATTCAAAGACAATTAGAAACCCCTCAAGCTTTGACGAGAATTGTGTTCCTCAGCCAATACATGTTAATCGTTTTGTGTATTGTTGAGCAGTTTATAGCAAGATTAATAAATGTTGAGTGTTTGATGCTTTAAGGACTATTTTTTGACAATAAACACACACTTTCGTTTGATGTAAAAAAGATATAGTCCTGAAGCAAAACCGGTTGAGAACCAGTATTCTAGACCTCATTAGCTTTAGATAAACCACTGGGCTATATTAGATGGTCAGTCCTTATGACCGACAGCGATCCAAGACCAATAACTTCATCAAGGTAGTGCGATGTCTTTCAGCTGCTGCTTCTGTGGTACTTTTGAACCTTATTATAATAGTGTTCACCTGCCCTGTCTGCACTTTCACATTCATATGACTATCTCAAATCATGAAAAATGCACTTTATGTGAATAATAAAAAAAGAAATAACTTCAACCCTGTGTGTTCACTCTTATTTACCTGTCAGATATTACTTATTTGTACTTTATGTAAAGATTAGAGCATTTATGTAAATGAGTGTCATGCTCTAATAGTGATGAATTTATTTGAAATTGTGTTTAGAGTTGATATGATTCAGGGATTGGTAAAAACAAGGCACAATTAAATTGAATTAATTAGAACGTAGAATTTGAATGTATTACACCAGAAAAAATGCACAAATACATCTTTATATAAAAATCAATTATGTATTCATTTTATTTAAATTTGTCATTTTAAAGTAAAAGGGAAAGGTACACAACCAATATGCAATATTTATATATGGAACATTATTAAACTGCTTTTTAACAATAACAAGCAATACAGGTACAATACAAAACATATATGGTAAATATGCATTTAAAAACTACACCTTTTGTGAACCCGGGTCTGTTTGGACGGGGTTGAATGTAAGCTTATACAATAGTCATAACTTAATATTTTTCGACTAAAACCGCATTGTGTCTTATCGGTAATTTCTCATTAATGAGTGAATGCACAAACATTTCAAAGTTTTGAATGTTACCATGTTTTTTACCATGCGATTACATTATTTACCCCCTTTTTATTAATTAAAAAAATCGAGAAATTCTTTGAAATGTAAAATGTTTAAGAACTACAGGAAAAACGGTGCAAGAAAAATATATATTGCACAAGCATGTTTATGAACAAAATGCAGCCCCAGTGGCGAGGAAAAATGTGTGCGTGTAGGAAATTGGCTAAATGTATTTTACAGAAGTAATTTGAGACCGATCTACTCAAATAAAAAATATAACTGTTAGACCCGAACGCAACAGTTTAGTTAAAATGGTTATATCTCTCTTCTTTTTTTGTAAATAAATAAATAAAACTGAAAAAATAATAATATCTGTAGAACTGTAGGTGTAGCTATTTGACAATCTTACCAAACTTGCATGAAGTTTCATCTTTGTACTAAATAGATTTTTTTTTTTTAAAGATCTACCTTTTCCAACTCAACGAACGCGAATACAATAGGAGAGTTAAATATAAATATCAAGAAAGAAAGAAAGAAGCCATTACTTCTAATCCATTACACTCCATTAGGCTACTTTTAATTATAGCTTATTTTACAATCTAATCAAACAACTCAAGTGCTTTTTTTTCATTCTGTCCATGGCTTCTTAAAATAGCTGTAACTTTAAAGGAATAGTTCACCTAAAGATTTAAATTCTGAAAAAGAAGAAGAAGATATTTTAAGACAGTTGATTTCCCATTGACTTCCATAGTAGAAAAAAATAAATACCATGTGCATCAACGGTTTGGTTACCGACATTCAAAATATCTTCCTTTGTGTTCAGCAGAATAAATAAATGCATACAGGTTTGAAACAACTTGAGTTTGAGTAAACGATGACACAATTTTCATTTTTAAGTGAACAATTCCTTTAATTAATTTCTAAATATTGTTAGGGGGCATCATCAGAAAACAATTTATTTTTATTTTTTTCAGATACGGAAAAAAAGCATTTCAAAATACTCGTTGAAAAAAAAACTTAAAATGCGATTTATGGCTATGCGAGAAGAAAAAAAAAAGGACAAGACGAAACTTAAACGAACGCAGTATATTGCGTCACGTCGTGACGTCATCTGTGCGCGACACAGAGCTCAATGAAGCAAAGTTGAGTGAATGTTGAGCTTGTTGATGTAGTTATTATGAGTGCCATTCACCGGGCGCTAAAGAAGCACTTCGGATTCGACAGGTTTCGCTCTCAGCAGCAGGAAGATGCCGTGAAAGCAGTGCTGAAGGGTGACAATGACACATTTACACTGGGTTATTATGGGATAAATGGCAGGAGCTCGCTGAATGGTAGTGTTGTTGTTGTTGTCCTGATTGGTGTGTGTGTGTGTGTGTGTGTGTGTGTGTGTGTGTGTGTGTGTGTGTGTGTGTCGCAGGTGACAAAGATGTGTTTGTATGTATGCCCACTGGAGCAGGCAAGTCTCTGGTCTATCAGCTCCCTGCTCTTCTGTCCAGCGGCATCACTCTGGTCATTTCTCCTCTCATCGCGCTCATACAGGTGAATGAATGAATACTGTTGACAAAACTCATCCCATCCACACATATAAGCCATGTCTGTCAGCATGGATAAGCTGCAGGCACACAATAGCCTTCATACGGTTCATACGCAAACTATGGTTTGCATTAGTGTTATTGGCCAGACAATATTGGACTGTTTTGAGATAATTGGCATCAGCTGATACACCGTGATATAAAGGAATAATTATCAAAAAAAGTACATTCTGGCTGCATCTGTAATCGCATACTTCCCTAACATATAGTAGGCAAAATAAGTACATCCGAATTCACAGTACTCCTAAAAGAGGTGAAAAGTCCCCGGATGATCTACTTCTTCCGATGAGATACTGAAAGTGTGTATACATGAGGCCACGGGAGAGGATTTGTGAATGACGGTGAAGCGACTCAACTGACACTGGTAGTTCAAATGATAATGACTACATGGCGGATGTAGTACATCAAGATTATATTCATTCTACACACACTCGTACTATAATAGAATATACTTTTTTAGCAGTCGTCGGTGAAGTAATAACTTATTCAAAATAAGCACCTGCTCAAGAGAGTGTGTGATTTCGGACGCAGCCTCTGTCATCATCTACACACCCTTGTGTGTTTCCAAGAGTGACTATTGAGCTCCAAAATTACATAACAGTAATCTAGTCCAGTAGTCCATTATGGGGACATTATAAGTGAACAATGACATGCACTTCATTTACTGAAATACATTTACAGATGAGTTTACCAAACCGGTTCTCAACCAGGGGCCACTGGAAGATTAATATATTATAATTATTAAAATATATATATATATATATATATATATATATACACTGCCTTTCAAAATGTTTGGGATATATACAGAATAAAACTGGGTATATGTAAGTGTTACTGAAGTGGAGATTTCAGGCTCAATGTAGGAGGACAAATTCGGCCTTTTAAGATATACACTGTAATTGAGATCTACAGACGCAAACAGATAAAGTGCTCTAAAAGATGCAGGTAAAAGTGTATTTTGGATGTTTTCTGTCCACTAGTAAAAAAAAAAAAAAAACTTTATGAAAAGCCCTAAATCTCAAAATTGACAGATGCATGAAAACACAGTTTTTGCCTGTAGTGTCTGGCCTTAAAGGTACAATATGCAGGATTTTTGCAGTAAAATATCCAAAAACCACTAGGCCAATGTTATATATTTTGTTTAGTTGATGACTTACAATATCCCAAATGTTTCCAACTATTTGTAAATCGTGAGAAAATTGCGATTTTAACCAAGGAAAGGGGGCGTGTGAGCAGGGGTGAGGAGTCGCCAGTCAATGGCGTCATGTCCGCGTTACCCTCGGTTTCCGCCAGGTTTGACCTCGCACTGCAATAGTAACCATCGCGACTGACAACTGGGTTATGCCCGTTATGCCTAGAAGGACGCTCACGCTGTTGTTGTTTCGTTCAAACATTATGGACCATGGCAAGCAGACTTTGAGACAAAAAGAGGACTAGAACGAAGATCAACATCTTTCGAGATGCCGAGAGCTCCACGTCCGCGACTAACTTTGACTTGACAGAGATTCGCAGAGTGTTGCATGTTACTTTATTAGACAGGTGAGCAAATGTTCATAAAACTAATCAATGTTATGTAGTTCAACATGATGAAATGCTAGAATATGATCTGTATGTTATTCTAATGTTGATCTAGCTTAGGCTACTGCTAGTCTCATACAGTCAACAAACAACCTAACTAACAACATTCAACACACTCAAATGCCGTTTAGTGTGATAGTGTAACTGTTAGAGCAAGGGAAACAGATCTGCGTTACCTCAAGTTTAATTCCTCTAATAAACGGACCTGTGTGAGTATTAATTCAGCACTTGCGTGTAGTTCGGTAGAATGAAATGTCCTGTTCCTTTATATCCGCGGGACTGGCGTCGCGTGTGGCGCTGGTATACGTCTCTCATTAGCAATCGCGCCCTGCTTCACACCACAGTCATGTTAAAAACATCAATGTATTCACTCATCCATAAAAGATCCATCAGCTTGACGACAAGATCCATAATTCACCTTAATGTGGAATATACGCCATCAATATACGCCTTTGTTATTGTAAGAGGTAGCGACCCCTGGTGGCGAAAAATCCTGCATATTGTACCTTTAAGTTCAGTCAATCACTAGTTTATATGAGTGAGAAATGATCTTTGTAAGCGTGTGTTGATTCATCATGTCTGTGCTTCTCCAGGATCAAGTGGAGCACCTGAAAGCTCTCAATGTTCCCGCGCGATCCATCAACTCCAAGCTTCCCTCGGCTGAGCGCCGGCAGATCCTGGCGGATCTGGAGAGCGAGAGTCCTCGGCTCAAGCTGCTCTACATCACTCCCGAGATGGTGGCGTCTCCGTCCTTCCAGCCCTGCTTGAGCTCGCTGTGCTCGCGCGGCCTCCTGGCGTATCTGGCGGTGGACGAAGCTCACTGCGTCTCCCAGTGGGGGCACGACTTCCGCCCGGACTACCTGAAGCTGGGCGACCTGCGCTCGCGTCTGCGGGACGTTCCCTGCGTAGCGCTCACAGCCACGGCGCCCAAGAGAGTGCAGGAAGACATCGAGCGCTCGCTCAAACTGCGCTCGCCACTCCTCTTTGCCACGCCAGTTTTCCGGAAGAACCTGAAGTATGACGTGATCTTCCGGGATCTGCTGCCTGAACCTTACGTCCACTTGCTTGCGTTTGCTAAAGAGGCGCTGGGCGGAAATACTGCCGAAAAGGTCGGTCACTGTTTATGTTTTACTCGCCCTCATGCTGTTCTCAACCAGCACGGCTTTCTCTCATCTGCTGGACACAGGAGTTTAGCAGAACAACGAAGCTTCATTTTATCCATTCAATAAGAGTGAAAAAAAAAAGATAAAAATAAAATGTATGCCTGCATACTAGTGACTTAAAGGGGTCATGACATGAGAAATCAAATTTGCCTTGATCTTTTGACATATGTGACCCTGGACCACAAAACCACCAGTCACATGGGATTCATACATCATCTAAAAGTTGAATAGATAAGCTTTCCATTGATGTATTCCATTGAACTATTTGAAAATCTGGAATCTGAGGGGGGCAAAAAAATCGAAACATTGAGAAAATCGCCTTTAAAGTTGTGCATTTATGTTCGCGATTGTGCTGCATTCACTCACAAAAATACATGTTTTAATATATTTACTGTAGGAAATTGACAAAATACTTAATAGCCTAATGATTTTTGGCATAAAAGAAAATCGATAATTTTGCCCCATACAATGTATTGTTGGCTTTTGCCACAAATACACCCGTGCGACTTGTGATTGGTTTTGTGAACCAGGGTCACATATAAGCATACCTGTCAACCCTCCCGGTTTTCCCAGGATTCTCCCGTATTTTACCTTGCTATCCCGCTATCATCCCGTTTAAATATTTTCCCGTATTTTTAATCTTTCTATAATTTTTTTTTTAAATTCCCACTGGGCGCAAACCAGTTAAGCAGAAATCTCGCCCTGCAGCTAATTTCATTGGTTAAGGTTACGGGTAGGTTTAGGGATCAGTGTCTGGTGTAGGCAATCAGTACTGTGATTCACATGAGCAATAAAATCTTTAGGATCGGCTGCAGATTTCCGCTGTAGTAGTTTGGGGGGAAAACATTGCGCGAAGAAGAACAGCAGCATCCCGAGGATGGACGAACATGAGAGAGATGGCATTGGAGACTATGTAATGTAGGCTATTATGTATGTAATACAGAGATTATGTATTTATTTATGTTAATATCTGCGCAATTAAATGTTTATTTAGCCTGCCTCTGCCATCCCCCCCGGTTCATATCTCCCGTATTTAGGAATCCAAATGTTGACAGGTATGCATATAAGAGGTCTTTGTATCATTAAAACATCCTGCAAGTTTCATACCTTCAAATTTCCGACTCAATAGAAACAAAGAATTTATGTTAGCAAGCTCCAAAAACAACTTGTTTTGATAACACGTGACGTCACATGGGCAAATACATTTACATATGACCGCCTCCTGAGCAAGACATCGACCAATAGTTTTACATCATCGCACCATAGGCCCCGCCACTATCGCTTAGTCGTTAAAAGGGGTCAAATAATGGTACATGCACTTTTTCAAGTTGATTGTACTGAAATGTGTGTTGGCAGTGCCTGTACACAACCATCATAAAATGATAAAAATTCTAAATGCATTTAATGCGTCTGCATTCCGTTCGAGCCTGTGACGTCACACGCTCGGAAGCCCCTCCCACGATTGTTGATTGACAGCATCGTTTCAACACAGACCCGCCCTCGCTCATGAGAGAGCTGTCAATCATAGTCTGCGCTGACCGGCGCGGTCATTGTTGATATGCTGGAGCACTGTCTATGAGCAGAATGGCGTCTAAGCGATTGTGGTGTTCTGTTCTTGGGTGTAATAACGAACACAGCAGTCATTTTAATGTTCCTAAATCCGAACCGCTGAAGCCACTACGCAGTGGCTGAGTTTGTTTTCGAAGGGAATATTCCCCACGAGCAACGTCAATGCTTTCATGTTTGCGCGAATCATTTCTCAGCAGACTGCTTTATAAACGAGGATCAGTATAAAGCTGGTTTTGCTAAGAAGCTGCTCATGAAAAAAGGATCGGTACCAGATATTCGTGTTCCTGCTGAACCTCTAGAAGAACTGATGTGAGTGTAACGTTTTATTAAACTTTATATTAATATTTATATCTTTGCAAATTGCTAGCTGCACGCTTCACGATGAATGCGTCTAAGGTTTACACTCAGGGTACATTACGGCATGTTTTCTATGCACGACGTTCTCAATATAATTCATAATCCCACGTTTATACTGAACAACGCGTTATGGTTATTGTGTTACAAACGTGTACGCACAGAACAGAGAGGCGGAGTGAGCAAAGCACATTATCATTTAAAGGCATATGCACTGAAACGGCGTGCTGAAAACAGAGCTGTTTTTGACCAGGTAAAATAACTGTTTTCTTACAATACTAATGAGAATTTTTAATTAAAGTATATTACAAACTTTTAATTTAGACCCTAAAGAATCATATTAGCTTGTACAAAAATGGCATTATATGACCCCTTTAACGGCTGACATCTGCCTACACGCGTCAAAAGCATATAGAGCCCATTATGATGACTGACGCTGTCTACACTGATAGTTTAGCTAGCTGATAGATAGATGCGCGCTCAACAGGACGAATGGACGAACGTTCGCTGTGACGCGACTAGTTTAAACAGCTTGTTTGCTTCTCGGAAACAAGTGGATGGTTTTAATGGCGTCCTGGATCGTGTCGAAAGATTATGTTTGTTTGGAGCACAGTGCCGTAAGTAAACGATTTCATAATGCTTTGTCTGTAAATGACAGTTTTATATGGATAATGTTTTAAAAACACTGACTCACGTTCAGTAGCGAGTGGCTGTTGATACCGTTTCCTAGGCAATGACGTTAGCCAATCAAAACAGTGGCCGTTTACTGACAAGCCATGGACACTTTTAAAGTGTCATTGAGCCACACATTGTTATAGACCAACGCTACTTTTGCGTCATCGAAGGGTAACGCCCCTTTTTGGGGGAAAACAAACGGATTCCCCCGAGAACAGAACTCGCTCTAGATCTGCTAAGTTTCTTCAAAAATGGCACAAACATACACACTCTCTTTGCCGGCCGAGGACCGTGGGCGGTATTTAAAGAAGCTACTGGATACGGGGTTACAGAGGTGTCCCTTTGAAATGGTCGAAAACTGGATGACCCCACGCAGTGGCCAAATATGGGCTATTCAGACATCTAACGTTACCACTATCTCGTGGAATCACCAAGTAAGTAACATTAGCCTATTTTTTTTTTTGTCATTAACACTCACAGTATGACAAACTAGACGATGAGGCCATGTCACTTGGATCATATTTAACCTGATTTAAGCTATTGACATAGTTTTGTTGTCGACTAGCTATACTATACTGTTGAAATAGTGGCAGGCTAGGACTAAAGTGGACTTGGCTGGTTTCTACTTGTGTCTAGAAAGTGCTAGGACTTTGAAAGCTGTAAAAAGGTTTACAGTGTACGGTAAAATATGTATAGGACCAATGTATGTATGTACGGGGCTATCAAATTGGATGTTGTGACATTACGCTATCCTATCTAGCCTAGAAGGCTTGATCTACTGCCGTTCGTGTTGTTACATATAGCCCAGAGCAGTGGTCGTCGAAAAGTCATATAGGCCTAAAGTACTTTCTAGACACAAGCAGAAACCAGCCAAGTCCACTTTAGTCCTAGCCTGTCACTATTTCAACAGTAAAATCAGTTAACAGCTAAGATAGCGTGCCTAGTGAGAGCTAATCACATAACGTTAGCTGCTAGCAGCTTCGTCTTTCTAACTAGTAGTGATGGCCGGTTCGTGAACGAATCGTTCTTTTGAACCGGTTCTTTTTAGTGAACCGGTCGAACCAGTACACTAAATCGGACTGAATCGTTCGCAACAGTTCGCGTCTTGCGTCAGTGCTGATACACAAGTTACTAAAGTTACTCACTTTCAGACATGCCTGACAGTCCCTCTGATTCGAAATAAACCAATATCCCTGAGTATATTTCACTCCAGTAAATCCAACAGTTGTTTTTGAGAGAAGTGATGAGCACGAGCAGCTGATACTGCGCATGCGCGTACTACCGAACGCACATGTACAGCGGTTATCGGATCACCAGTACAGAACCGAGAACTGTTTCTTTCGGACACGTTCGACATAATGAGAACAACTGATCGATGAGCTGAGCATGCGTGCAATTTTTTTCTGAGGGACGAAATGTACGTTTCTTAAGTATTTATTTAGTTGAACATCAGTAAGTGTAATAAAAAAAACATGTTGGAAACATGTTTATCACATAATTACTGTATTATCACTGTATTATTTTAAAGTTTGGAAACACAATGAATGGATTGTAAAACTGTCAAACTAAACATTTATTAAAATAATATTTTCAGGAACAGCTCATTTAATTTCTAAGTAAGTTGATATAAATATTTGATGTAAACTCTTGCCAAAGTTTTAATGGTGCACACTGCACAGTACTGCTTAGTAAATGTTTATAATGTGTTAAAACATAACGTATTAAACATATTGGAGAAGAAAGACATGCATCGATTTTTTTAGTTTTGTCGACTGTATATTCAGGTTTCAGCAGTTCTCAGCTCAGCACACAGGCCTATGCTACGGTTCTCGAGTCAAGAACTGGTTGTTGCAGTTCTTGAATCACCAGTACAGAACCGAGAACTGTTTCTTTCGGACACGTTCGATACGGAGAACCGATGAGCTGGAGATACTGAGCATGCGTGATAGCACCGTCTCTAAACAGAACTTTCTTTCGGCCAACTGATGATGTGCTGATGAGCACGCAGCACGGGTGAACCGAGGACTTAAATGAGGGGCCGAATTCGGCGAAATGTAAGTTTATTACAAATAAAATGATGAAGACCACTTATGCACTTTATATATTTAAGACATGTTAAACATCCGCGTTTGCACATCGCCTGTAGGCTACAGGGTTCGTTTGCAAAATGTAAATGTAAGAAACTTATCCAAGAGGATTATGACGATGAGTACTATTATTTAAGTGAAGTTATGATTACAAATGCCTTTAATTTAAAGTATTTTTATCCGCCGGGATGATATAATTGACGTCATTACGCGAGGACGTAAAAGAACTGGTGAACCGGTTTTTTGAACCGGTTCATTGAAACGAACTGTCCGAAAGAACCGGTTCGCGGAAAAGAACCGAACTTCCCATCACTACTAACTAGTATAGCTAGTCGACAACAAAACTATGTCAATAGCTTAAATCAAGTTAAATATGATCCAAGTGACATGGCCTCATCGTCTAGTTTGTCATACTGTGAGTGTGTTAATGACAAAAAAAAAAAGGCTAACGTTACTTACTTGGTGATTCCACGAGATAGTGGTAACGTTAGATGTCTGAATAGTCCATATTTGGCCACTGCGTGGGGTCATTAATCCAGTTTTCGACCATTTCAAAGGGACACCTCTGTAACCCCGTATCCAGTAGCTTCTTTAAGTTTGTGCCATTTTTGCTATCAAGAAACTTAGCAGATCTAGAGCGAGTTCTGTTCTCAGGGGAATCCGTTTGTTTTCCCCCAAAAGGGGGCGTTACCCTTCGATGACGCAAAAGTAGCGTTGGTCTATACAGTGTGTCAAAGTGTGTCATCAATGTCAAGGCACAAGATTCACTGATGTTTAAAGTCATAGATGTCAAACCTGGGAGGACACATCTTGACGTGATATAATTGAAGTGAGATTTGAAATCTAAAGCGAAGGGGAAGCTCTTCAGTGAATAACAACTAGGCTATATTTCAAGTCTTGGAAGTATCTCAAGTCGTGCAAATTTAAATAGCTTGAATGTAACTCTACACCCTTGCCTCATTTATTATACGTGGTTCTATGAATATGCAAATGATCCCCGCCTCCACTCACTCACCCCAGCTCAGAGATCCACTGGTTGGCGATCACACGTTGATCTGATTGGTTACAAGGTAGTTTGTGACGTCAGAAACACCAGCGATTTCAAACCGTGTTTTTGAGACTGTCTTTGGTTCACTGCAGTTTTAAGGAGAAAATACTCAGCAATGCTGTCGACTTATGAATTTACATGGTTTGTCTTAAAGCACATTAAAAACACCACATAGAAACAACATTAAAAGCTTGATTTTCACCACAGGGGGTTAAAAATATTTTCTGGATCTCAACAGCGTCAGTCACTTTTCATTTTCACATTGAATGGAAAAGTGCAGCTTGAACATTCTGTGAAACGTCTCCTTTTGGGACTAAATAATAAAGTCATTCAGGTTTGGAACAACATGAGCGTGAGAAAATTATGAATTTTCATTGTTTGCTGAACTATTCCTTCATGTTCATAAATATATAAACCAAGGTGATATAATGTTAAAAGCCATTTTTGTTTTGCAGGGATGTGGGATTGTTTACTGTCGAACCCGAGAGAGTTGTGAGGAAGTGGCTCATAAGTTGACTAAATTGGGAATTTCAGCCAAGCCCTACCATGCAGGTGATCCTTATTGTGCTTCATAGAGGTTTGTGTATACTGTGGTTGTTGTGCACGTTTGCATGGGACGCTCATTCTGGGTTCTGTGATCTCTCTCCCTCCCTCTAGGGCTGAAGGCGGGCGATCGCACGGAGAGTCAGGCTGACTGGATGGCTGATAAAGTGCCTGTTATTGTGGCCACCATCAGTTTCGGTATGGGAGTGGACAAGGCCAATGTCAGGTGAGTTTCTCATCGTACGTGTACACTCATGTTCAAACGCTTGGAGTCTGTAGAATCTATATGCTTTTGAAAGAAGTCTCTTCTGCTCACCAAAGCTGCATTTATTTGATTAGAAACACAGTAAAACGGTACAATTCTGAAATATTACTACAATTTAAAGGAGCATTGCGGAAGTTCTGAAATTTCTTACCGTTACTGACACCAGTGGCTGTTAGAGAAACTGCAGCCAGTCTCATGCTCGTTCTCGGTGCGCACGCTCGTTGGCCGAACTAGATAAGGCTTTTCTTTTTTTTTTACTTGTTTTAAACACACAGAGTTTCCGTGGGTATCTGGATTGTGCTGGAGGCTGGTCGCTTCTTTCCGTCCGCAGAGTCCATTTGAAACACTACTGGTGGCGATTGCCGCTGCTTACTAATGGCTGCCGTACGGATGTAAGCCCAAGTAGACGAGAACGCGCATGACGTCACATTTTATGAATTTTCACGCCAATTCGGACCCGACTCCTCCATAGACAATTGAGCCTACAGGCTGATAGAGGCAACCGTGGTGGACAGTCAAGGTGTCATTCTTTCTATTACATTATGTTTGGCTCATAAATGTACAAATGAAGACTCTATCTTAAAGATTTTTTTTAGGTAAAAACCTACACATTGCCCCTTTAATATAGCTGTTTTATATTTGAATATCTGTAAAAATGTAATTTATTCCTGTGAATTTTTTTGCATCATTACTCCAGTCTTAAGTGTCACACGATCCTTCAGAAATTACTCTAATATGATGGTTTGATGCTCAAGAAATATTTATTATTATCATCAATGATGAAAACAGTTGTGCTGCTTCATAGCTTCATTTATTGCTTTTTTTTTTTGTGGTGCAAAGGATTATGGTACTTAAATACAATTTCTTCAGTTGGTGTTCCTCGTGTGGCAGTCAAAAATGAGTTGTTGTTTTTTTAAAGTAAACTTAAAAGCATGTTATAGAAGTTTAAGTTTATGAAAAATGCACAAAAATACTATTTTCAAATTTTTATATGAAATGTATTTTTCCCAAAACATGTTTTACTCTAAAACTGCAAGAAAATTAAAGCCATAAATCTAAACAAGTTGTTTCAAAAATGAGCTATGATTTAATTCGATACTGTTTTTTATTTAATATTTTTATGGGGATTTTATGGTACTAAATTATATTTACGTAGACCTGAAAATTAAATTTCCAACTTAAACTGTTGTAAATCTTGAATGTTTTAGAGCACAGACTGAAGTTTGATCTTTTGTCAAAGACGACACTCGGCAGATTATTGCTGAAGTGAAAAAAAGTTATAGAAGTTTAAGTTTATTGTTATGAAAATTGCACAAAAATACTTTTTTCAATATTTTTATTAAATATTTATATATTTTACAAAACGTGTTTTACTCAAAAAAACAAAACAAAAAAAACCTGTTAAACTGCCAGAATATCAAAGCCATAAATCTAAATGAGTTTTGTTCCAAATTTGCGGTTGATATCTCAAAAAATGAGCTTTCATTAATATTTTGTTTGGCCGCAGTACCACACGTCTCCACTAGATGAAATTCGTCTCCCATTCACTTCCAATGCGTCATTTTTGACCGCGAGGAGCACAAGTGTGACTATTATTTTCAGGACCATTAAACCTTTTCGAATCATGTCCATGATTTTTTTTTATTGTTTACATAGCAAGTGCCAAAACCTTTACCAACTTTCGTACCTTTCCGAGGAAGTAAAAAAAAATAAAAAAAAATAACATTTTTCGAAGAGTTGATGAATCTGTAGACATTTCAGACAAGCTCATTTTCTCGCATCTGTGCTTTACTGTGTTCGATGTTGCGTGTAAGCGTCTGTATGTTTTCAGGTTTGTCGTTCACTGGAATGTGGCGAAATCTTTGGCCAGTTACTATCAGGAGTCGGGGCGAGCTGGCCGTGACGGACTGCCGTCGTCCTGCAGGATTTACTACTCCCCCAAAGACAGGGACCAGCTCGGCTTCCTCATCCGCAAGGAAATCACGCGCAAACAGGTCAGGAACGGCACCCGATCCGGATGTCTTCATACTTCTGAGCAGTTACAGGTAGACATTCATTGTGTCTGAATTCAGGAGAAGCGAGGGTCGCAGAGAGAGCAGGACAAGGCGCCCGTTCAGGACTTCGAGGCGATGGTTGCTTTTTGTGAGCAAGAAGGGTGAGTCCAAACACAGACGACTGATATCCTGGATTGAAGGTATAATATATGTTTAATAAAACAAAACGGTGTGTTTTAAAAACAAAACATGCATGAATATTTTGTATCACTTTATATCCATAAAATGCATTTAATCTGAATCAAAATAAAAATTTTTTGCATATTTGATTATTTACATTTTATTTCTCCAGCGTCTCAGCTCCAGTTTCCTCTGTATAGCACATTATCTTAATACAACATGATAGCAGTATTAAGTCTACATGCATTTCTTTTATATATATATATATATATATATCAGATACTATCTTTCAAAAGTTTGGGGTCTGTAAGGTTTTTTCATGTTTTTGAAAGAAGTCAAGGCTGCGCTTATTTGATCAAGTTAAAACGGCAATATTGTGGAATATTATTACAATTTAAAATAGCTGTTTTCTATGTTGAATATATTGTAAAATGTGATTTATTCCTGTGAATTTTCAGCATCATTACTCCAGTTTTCAGTGTCACATGACCCTTCAGATATCATTGATTTGCTGCTCAAGAAGCAATTATGATTATCAATGTTGAAAACAATTTTTTTGCGCAATCTTTCCTATTTTTGTGAAAACTATGATACAGTTTTCAGGATTCGTTGATGAATAGAAAGTCCCAAAAGAACAGCATTTATCTTTTAGAACATAATACATGTTTCTTTACTGACACTTCTGATCAATTTAATGCCCTTGCTCAATGAAAATATGAATTTCTTACTGGCTAATCTTACTGGCCCCACACTTTTGAATGGTATTGACCAGAGATCTCTTGTTTCTGCATCTCTGCTCCGTTACTGCAGTAGTGTAAGTGACCAGCAGAGGGCAGCCACTGGTTTCACAGTGGTTCGCCGTTCATATAATGACAGAGGTTGGGAATTTAGTGTTTATTTGTGACTTCCATAATTAAGGGGGGCATAATCCTCAGCCAGATGCTTGTTTCTGCTTCTGAAGGTTTGCTTCGTGACTGTAGCTGATGCGTGTTGTGTGTTCATGCAGCTGTACAGTGGCTGAATTGTATCGCTGTAATGTGCCGGATCACAGCGTTCACAAACAAAACTATCAAACTCCACTAGATTTTATTTTGGCCCATTGTGGTGTGTGTGTATCTCCTTTGCTGGCCGTGTTTCAGACGGCAGAGACTTTGTTCCTGGACCCGCCAGTGCAGCAGCCGCAGCAGCCGTACACACATCCAGTCACGATCAGAGCGATGAATGTCACTGGAAGAAGAAGAAAACATGCAGATTTAGTCACTTGTCGTAATCAAAAAGGCTTTTCACACTGCGTTTAATCGTCAGTCTAAACCCTGCTTTTAACCCTGATTATACCATGGTCTGGGTGAATACTCGATTCTGATTGGCTGCAGGGTGTCCATTAAAAAGTGATAGAGGACACCTAGTAAAGGAGTTCTGGTGAAACTGACCGTTTACCATTCGAAATTAATAAATAAATGCGCTGGCTACATCAGCTGTGAGTAACCATAGCAACAGGCAGTCTAAGTATCCGTTTACAATTTATTGCATCAAAACAAACATCTAGTTAGCCGTTATACTATGCCTACTAATACAACAATGAGCGACTTTGTTATTTCTTTTAACCTTTTTGGAGAATTTGACATAAAATACGTTAAGTTTCTGGCTCGTAAGTGAGCTAAACTGAAGGTTTCTACGAGCTGAGCGGACTATAAATATCTCCGGTTGCGTCGTAACCAGGGAAACCAAGTTATTGTTTGTAAAAACTTTAGATTTCGATTGTAAAACTAATTAAAATATAAACTAATGTTTTAAAAATGTGTTATTTGGCAAGTGACCATGGTATAAGCGTGTTAATGCCCTTCGAGGTGTCCATTGTCAGGTATTAATGGACTTCGGCGGAAGCTGCGCGTCGGACGGTTCACGCCTCGCCATCGTCCATTAATACCTGACAATGGACACCTCGTCGGGCATTAACCCTTATACGTTTAACACTTGGAATTTAGAAGAGGGTTAGTACCGTTTTTTTACCCAGGGTTATGAAACCCTGTAACCCTGCTCTGGGACGTTTATCCCGCATTGCGGTGCCACACTTGTACTGTGTGAAATGATGCGGTGTGATGCGGTGAAATGATGCGGTGTTAGAATGTTATGACTAGATGCTTAGCAACCGACAACCAATAGCGTTCCTCATATTCACGTGCTTGGTACAGTCACGGAAACGTTTGAGGGGAAAATGGTCAAATGGTGACAGAAAACATGACAATTGTAGTGAAGATTCATTCTTACCTTTATCTTAAAAGTCCATTCAATGTAAAGCTGATAGTAATGTCCAATGTTAGAGCCTTTATGTAAACAGGTCACGTGCTGCGTTCGTCCAATCAGTGACGCTGACACCGCTAATATGCAAATTAGGACGTTAACTCAGGGTTTAGGAATGTACCGTGTGAAACGTCATTTTATGAATACCCAGGATTAAATGTTGAATCCGGGTAAATTATGAGCAATGTAAAACGTGAATCAGGATTAACCCAGGATTCAGTTTACTCTGGGTTTAAATTGACCCAGGGTTAACTAGTTCAAGAGTGAAAAGCCCTAAAGTTTACCCAAACTAACTTAAAGTTGGCATTAAACAGAAGCTGTGACTGTATTTTCTTCCCTATTGTGATAATATCCGAGTGAAACGGCTTCTCGAACAAGAACAGATGTAGGGCGGGGCTTGATTTTGTCTGTGGGGAATGATTGGATGGTTGTGGTTCGCTATTGGTTGATCTAATGTGAGTGACAGGTTGCCCCGCCCTCTCGCCCTCTATGTGTGTGGGCTTCAATGAAAACAGCACATTAATAGCATTTATGCAGACCAAGTTTCAGAACGACTCAAATCTTTGGATTTCTGATGTCAGAAACCCTAACTTTAACAACTACAGTCCCACAATTAGAGTCAGCTAGTTAGAGTTTAAGTGCAGTGCGCTCACTAAAATAGCAGGGTAAATATGGATGTGCGCTTGGTGGAAGCCTTTAATCACAGTAGAGCCTCTTATAGCCTCTCCGCCTCGTGTTAGCGCGGCCACAGTGCAGAGACGTAATGACAGCCCAGTGTAGAAAGAAGACTGCGCTTACAGAAGAACAGCAGGATGATGACGAACGCCGTCTGTGTGAGCGGGTGCTCCTGGGGGAGAGCCTGCAGTTTGGTCCAGACGCTCTGGAGGATTCCCATCATGTCCTCTGAAGCGCCCATCCCGGCCTGAACACAAGCACACAGAGGACTGACTCGATACAGTGTACACTGTCACAAGTGATTGTCACGACTGTAAAAATCTGTTGATTGGTTAAAGGCAAGTTCCCTTAACCCTCTGATTATCTTCATTTGTGTCTACACTCATTATCTTTGGGGTCTCCAGGGACCCCAGACAATAACATTTAATTTTGTAACAGAATAATTATTTTTTTTTTTTTACAAATGTAATTTTAGTCTGTTTATTAATGTTTTTACTCAACATTTGTGCAGTTTTTGGAGGATTTTTGATATCTTTTAAATTTCTATAAATATTTATATAAATGGGCTTTTTTTTTAACAAAAAAAACAGCATTTTATGTCAAATTTACTTTATAAAAGACCCAGATTTCTAACTTTCATTTATGGGGATTACATGGATCATTTTAAATGATTTAATGTAAGATTTTTGCCCATTTTTTTTTGGAAAATGCCGTAAAAAAAAAAAAAAAAAAACTCACTTTAACCACTAGATGGCCATAGACCTCCACTATAAGCTATTTGCTATGTGATTAACCAAACTACATATCTTTTCACAAGTTTTTCCAGTTGGATTCATATCTAAATATTATAAAATCACAAAAAGGGGGTCAAAAAGATCCCGAAGATAACCAGAGGGTTAATGGAAAAACTGTAATGGATCTAACCTTATACATTTCATGTAGTTTTACAGTTTAAATATACCGTTTTTGTAAATGTAAAAAGACAAATCACCTTATTATTTACAGTGGAAAGCTGTTGTGTGTGGTCTTGCTGATTCAGCTGAAAAGTGCTGCTGCTGTTGTTGTTGTTTTTTAAATAACAACAGTTTTAAACTGTAAGCTGTTCTGTTGAGGCATTTACATTTTTACTCTATTTTTTAAATCATTATTTATGGTAACCTCAGCTGCCAGTTTATTATAAAAAAATGTTTTTATAGTGTACAGTTTAACAGTCAAAAAAGACCCTTCATACAGGTAAACTCAGTATATAATAATGTTGATTATTATATGATTATACGATCTGAAATCAAATAGCACATCTTTGATCTATGGCAGGGTGACGAGCCTTAAAATGACTTAAAATAAGACAAAACTAGCTTTAAAAATGTAAATATTAAGACATGTCTCATTTAAATTCCCCTCTCCCTCAAAAAGGGTTTTAATTTTTTTTTTTTTTTTCATTTGAAGAACCAGTATTCGCATGGTCTTGGAAAACCTGGATATACTTTATTATGAGGAAGCCTGATTTTAAAAGTTATAGATATTAAAGACTTGAAAAAATAATGTAAACTAATCTTAAATCTTAAAGTTCCATGGTCATTTTTATAATGAATATAAGTTTTTCCTAATTATGCTTAGCTCTAAAATATTTTATCAGATTGTGTGTAAAAATATTTGTAATAATCCATATGTAAAATCATGGGTTAAAAAGAGTGGCATCCCTGAAGAACATTCAGCTGACGTTATTAAAACTTGTGGAATCGTTACATTTTATAAAAAATCAAAAAGGGGAACTCCAAGGCACTCTCAATTGAAAAAGTTAAAAAGCCTTTATTCTTATGGCTTGGTCAAATTAACCATCCAAAAAACTCCAACGCGTTTGTAATCTGAGCACCCTAGTTGACAGATGGAGACTTCTGATTGGTGGACTGTTAGTTCATAAGAAACTCGGTTTGTGTGAGATCAGTTTGACTCCCAGAAGAAGGCATGTAGCCGAAACGCTACGAGTTTTTTAGATGGTTAATTTGACCAAGCCATAAGAATAAAGGCTTTTTAACTTTTTCAATTGAGAGTGCCTTGGAGTTCCCCTTTTTGATTTTTGGTATTTAGTTTCCCATCCAAAGAGCACCTCTATCTTAATCAAACTTTGTCCAGGAAGCGCTCCTCTACCCCTCTGGTTTTCGTTACATTTTATTATTTTAATTGTGTTATGACTATTTTAGGGCACGTTTGCACGGCAACAATGTACTAAAATGGAAACGTTTTTCCTTTCTTTTTTAGCATACTGGCGACAGCATTGTCAAAATGATCCCCGTTCGCACGGATCCATGAAAACGAGCACGCTGTATTCTTCACGCCTGGCCAGTAGTTGGCGATGTCACTTTGTAAAGAAACGCCACTCGCATATAGACTGAACACGTAATACATATGCTCATGACGTCACCGTTTTCACAGATACACGTTTTAGTAGTTTACACAGAGACGATAACGGTGTCGCTTTCAAACTTTCACTTCGAAACCCCGTTTTCAAAAGTTTGCCTTTTCAGGCCCCAAAACTCGAACGGCCAAAACGGATTATACGTTTTCTGTTTTTAGTTGAAAATGGTTTCATGTAAATGGTCCTCAGTTCCTTGTTCTAATGTACAGAAACTAAGAGTGTCCATAGATTTGATTAAAATATATATATATTTTTTAAATAAGCACAAATATTCCTGTGGACATTTGGGGGACATCTATGGGAAAAACAGGTTGGATTTATGTTTTGTTGGCTAACGTTAATAGATTAGCATTTCTCCGAGGCATCATGCAAACCCTGTATTGACACAAGGCTGTTTTAAGCATATGAGAACTATTATTTTGTTTATATAAATTTGTCCTATTTGCGTTGGCAGTTATTAGTCCAATAAATGACGGTAGTTGAGAGCCGAGGCCTTGCAGAATGTTTCCTGTGGTTTTGCTGAAGAATGAAGCTAGAAAAAACAGAGCCTGCTAGTTGAGCTTGTCATTGCATTTCTGCAGCGTCGTGGGTGTGTTTCCACAGGAGAGACGCGGTTGGGTGTGCCATCGCTGTATAAACTCTGCCGATGAAAGATTCATCCCTTACTGTCGAGTTCCTCCTGTCAGCACTGCTTCCTCGGTTAAACTGAGATTAGATGGTCCTGTATCGAATGCGATGACTGTATGAATGTCTGGTCTCTGATGTCATTCTGTTCTAATTCCGTTCCTTCCAGAATCATAATTCTATACGAAATCACAGTCTGAGAATGAGTTCTAATTTAAGTTTAAAATAAAGTTTTAAAGGGGTCATATAATGGTACATGCACTTTTTCAAGTTGATTGTACTGAAATGTGTGTTGGCAGTGCCAAACCATCATAAAATGATAAAAATCCATCCAGTGGTTTTGTTTTAATCTCCTTATATGTTTTCCCCTGCCTCAAATCGAGCCGTTTGACCGTGTGACGTCACAAGCTCGGAAGCCCCTCCCACGATTGTTGATTGACAGCAGTGTTTCAACACAGACCCGCCCTCGCTCGTGAGCCAGCTGTCAATCATAGTCTGCGCGGACCGGCGCGGTCATTGTTGATATGCTGGAGCACTGTCTATGAGCAGAATGGCGTCTAAGCGATTGTGGTGTTCTGTTCTTGGGTGTAATAACGAACACAGCAGTCATTTTAATGTTCCTAAATCCGAACCGCTGAAGACGCAGTGGCTGAGTTTGTTTTCGAAGGGAATATTCCACAACGTCAATGCTCTCATGTTTGCGCGAATCATTTCTCACCAGACTGCTTTATAAACGAGGGTCAGTATAAAGCTGGTTTTGCTAAGCTGCTGCTCATGAAAAATGGATCGGTACCAGATATTCGTGTTCCTGCTGAACCTCTAGAACAACTGAAGTGAGTGTAACGTTTTATTAAACTTTATATTAATATATTAATCTTTGCAAATCGCTAGCTGCACGCTTCACAATGAATGCGTCTAAGGTTTACACTCAGGGTACATTACGGCATGTTTTCTATGTATGACGTTCTCAATATAATTCATAATCCCACGTTTATACTGAACAAGCGTTATGGTTATTGTGTTATTGTGTTACAAATGGTGTATGCACAGAACAGAGGGGCGGGGTGAGCAAAGCTCATTATCATTTAAAGTCATATGCACTGAAACGGCGTGCTGAAAACAGAGCTGTTTTTGACCAGGTAAAATAAGTGTTTTCTTACAATACTAATGAGAATTTTTAATTAAAGTATATATTACAAACTTTTAATTTAGACCCTAAAGAATCATATTAGCTTGTACAAAAATTGCATTATATGACCCCTTTAATAAAGTTAAAAACTGAGTAAATAAAAAACGAATAGGCTCTAAACAGCCATATATATATATATATATATATATATATATACACTCACCGGCCACTTTATTATGTACACCTGTCCAACTGCTCGTTAACACTTAATTTCTAAGCAGCCATTCACATGGCGGCAACTCAGTGCATTTAGGCATGTAGACATGGTCAAGACAATCACCTGCAGTTCAAACCGAGCATCAGTATGGGGAAGAAAGGTGATTTGAGTGACTTTGAACGTGGCATGATTGTTGGTGCCAGAAGGGCTGGTCTGAGTATTTCAGAAACTGCTAATCTACTGGGATTTTCACGCACAACCATCTCTAGGGTTTACAGAGAATGGTCCGAAAAAGAAAAAACATCCAGTGAGCGGCAGTTCTGTGGGCGGAAATGCCTTGTTGATGCCAGAGGTCAGAGGAGAATGGCCAGACTGGTTCGAGCTGATAGAAGGGCAACAGTGACTGAAATAACCACTCGTTACAACCGAGGTATGCAGCAAAGCATTTGTGAAGCCACAACACGCACAACCTTGAGGCGGATGGGCTACAACAGCAGAAGACTCCACCGGGTACCACTCATCTCCACTACAAATAGGAAAAAGAGGCTACAATTTGCAAGAGCTCACCAAAATTGAACAGTTGAAGACTGGAAAAATGTTGCCTGGTCTGATGAGTCTCGATTTCTGTTGAGACATTCAGATGTTAGAGTCAGAATTTGGCGTAAACAGAATGAGAACATGGAACCATCATGCCTTGTTACCACTGTGCAGGCTGGTGGTGGTGGTGTAATGGTGTGGGGGATGTTTTCCTGGCACACTTTAGGCCCCTTAGTGCCAATTGGGCATCGTTTAAATGCCACGGCCTACCTGAGCATTGTTTCTGACCATGTCCATCCCTTTATGGCCACCATGTACCCATCCTCTGATGGCTACTTCCACCATGTCACAAAGCTCTAATCATTTCAAATTGGTTTCTTGAACATGACAATGAGTTCACTGTACTAAAATGGCCTCCACAGTCACCAGATCTCAACCCAATAGAGCATATTTGGGATGTGGTGGTTACGGGAGATTCGCATCATGGATGTGCAGCCGACAAATCTGCGGCAACTGTGTGATGCCATCATGTCAATATGGACCAAACTCCCTGAGGAATGCTTTCAGCACCTTGTTGAATCTATGCCACGAAGAATTGAGGCAGTTCTGAAGGCAAAAGGGGGTCCAACCCGTTACTAGCATGGGGTACCTAATAAAGTGGCCGGTGAGTGTATATATATATATATATATATATAAAATTATTCAACCCCCTAAAGTCAAATGGTGTACCCTACCTTGATAGTATAATATATATAATTTTATATATATATATATATATATATAAATTATTCAACCCCCTAAAGTCAAATGGTGTACCCTACCTTGCTAGTATAATATATATAATTTATATATATATATATATATATATATAAATTATTCAACCCCCTAAAGTCAAATGGTGTACCCTACCTTACTAGTGATAAAAAAAAATTATGACATAGCTGTATTATGAAAAACTAAAAAAATATTACATTATTTAGTGACATTGTCTGCGTCTAAAATCGCATACTTCCCAACTATATAGTAGGATAACCACAATATGTGACAAAAGAAGTATGTCCGAATTCACAAAAGAGTCGGCTAAAAGTCCAGGGGATGACCGGTGAGATTCTGAAGTGTGCTTATGATGGGCACTTTACTGTCCCATGAGGACAGGGGAGAGGATTTGTGAATGGCTGTGAAGTGACATAACTGACGCTGACAGTTCACATGATAATGACAACAGCTGGGGCCGGTTTCACAAAGATAGACTTTGTGACTACGGCTTAGATATAGTAGGCTAAATAGTCAGACTACACTGTAGTCTGGACTACACTATAAGTAGGACTACACTGCATTGCATTCTGGGTAAAATAAGACACTTTTCAAAACAAAAAACATGGCGGATTGAGTAAGCGCATTCAACCGCTCAGTGCAGTTTACCCCAAAAGAAATATGTGTGTGTTGGAGGTGTATAACAGTCACAAGGACATTTTACTTGGGAAATTTAGCAGAGAATGTAGTAATAAGAAGAAACGTTTAATTTGGAAAAAGATTGCTACGACAGTTACCAGCGTTAATCCGACCGCTGAGCGGAGCGTTAAAGACGTACAGAAAAGATACAAAAACATGGTACAAGTAGGTTACTGCGGTCCCTAAAAACCCTTTCCCTTCTTCTCACAGCTCTCTCCATTACTTCGTCAGCAAACCACAAATGATGAGCCATTTTCCCTTATCTTTCGGCTGTTTGTAATGTAACTGATTGTTACTGCTGGTTGCCAAGGTAACAGAGTCTTAGATCTAAGTTAGCCTGGGGGTAAGTTGTCTAAATTAAGTCAGTCTTTATCTTTGTGAAACAGTCTAACTTGCATTAGACTAGTCTATGAGCGTATTTTAGACTTGTCTAACACTATAGACCGGTCTAAAATAGCTTTGTGAAACCGGCCCCTGATGTAGTACGTCCAGATTACATTCACACTATATAGAACATGCTTTTTTAGCGCTGACGAAATAGGGTAAGTGCTTATTCAAGTTAAGTGCCTACTCAGGAGAGTATGCGATCTCAGACGCAGCCATTAACGCTTTTACAATCCCAGTAAAGTGATATATATATGTATTTTTGTTAACTGTGGATCTTAAGAAAAGCATGTGAACGGCAATTAACCATCTCGTATCCTATTAATATTCACAAAAGACAATTGCAAAACCAAATTTAAATGCATAAAGATGTAGAAATGCAAAACACATTTCATAAATATGGTCTAAGTTAATGGTTTTAACTTAAAAGTCTTGCATTCAGTTTCAGCAAATTTAAGGCCATACGAAGTCTTGCATATCTCAAGAAGAATACAAACAGTCTTAATTATTTTAATAAAACATAAAACATAAATCGCGATGAATAACATGTATATGGAGCTTCGAAACGATTTAAAGTAAAAACGCGGAGGGGATTCATAATCACAATCCAATACTTGTACAAAGTATTATTGATTGATTATGATGATGTTTACCTGTCGTTCTGGCACTGAAATATCATTCATGTGACTCATGCATATCCGATTAGTATTGTGTGGACGGTTTTATATTCTGTCTGTCTAAAAGGAACTGACTGTCTTCAAAAAACGTTATTAAAAGCGTAATAAAGTAGTGTTTATGAAACGCCACCTACTGGCATAAAAGTGAATTGACATTTTCGTTCAGCCAATCTGATGTTATAGTTAATAAAATAAATGTATTTTTGTTGTGTGAAGGCACATTGCACATGCAAAGTTATGCTTCTTGAGTCAAAGCATTGAGCAAAGCATATTTTGATTGGTTGGACTGAAACTCTCATCTGATTGGCTAAAGTGTGTCCGTAAAAAAAACAAAATGCTAATTTGTAAATATCGGTGTAAAGTCTCACACAAATACATATTGATTCACGCATATGACGGATTCAACAATCAGTTCGTACATGTCGAAACATCAGGAATGTGCAAAAATATTAAATCTAGAATTGTGAATGAAGTTTTGCATTTGTGAGTTTTAATTCGGTTGTTCGTTTGCAAATCATATTTTGTGAACATTAGAGTCTGAGTGTGTGAATTAGCTTCTGCAATTGTGAATCATATTTTGTAATACGTTACTTCATATTAGACAACAAAATGGGATAATTGCAAGACTTTTCTTCATCGTCGTTTCGAGTTCATGATCATTTTATTTATTTATTAATATTTCACAAGCACAAAGTGTCCCAGTATGTTTTGACAATATATCAAGTGCAATAATTTTAGGGTTATGAACTAGCAATCAAATGTTTTGCTTGTAATCCGTAAGAGAAAAACGGTAAAATCAAGAGATGTTCTCCAACACTGTCCGACGAAGAATGACATTGAATCATTTTTATTAACATGCTCCTGTATAACAATGCATAGTTATATAACAGAAATATTTTGGCAACACTTTATAATAAGGCTCCATTTGTTAAAATTAGTAAACTAACATCAACTAACAATGAGAAATACTTCTAAAGCATTTGATAAACACAATGATAATTTCAAGATTTCCTTATACATTGTTTCAATCAAAAGTTGCATCTGTTCATATTATATAACGGACCTGAGCTGACATGAAAGAACAATGAACCGCTGCAGTTTTATGAACTATATTAGCTATTATGACGCAAATCAATAATTAGTCGTAGTTCCTGTGAATAGTGAGTGAAGAGGCGGATGGAGAAATAGCCGAATTCTTCAGAAAGTGCATGTGATGACTAAATAAAAAGGGCATTAAAATCATCACATTATTCACAAAGTTGCTAACTTTCTAGCAAAAATAGTGGTTATATTGAAAGTATAGCCCAGCTTTACTTTTATAATAATGCCACTTTTTATATTTTACCTAATAAAAGTCAACGTGGGGGTTTGTGTGTCCAAACGCTTTTGCTGGACGCTGTGCAGACTCATGTTTCCCCTTCATTTCTTTTTGTAAATGTCTCATGTTTTTGGAAGTTGTAGATGCACAAACTAAGACCAAGTTTTTATTTTAATGCTCACGGTCACTCCAAACACACACACACACACACGCAGATCTTGCTCCGCTCTCACCTTTGATCCAGTTTGTAGTTCACGTCCCCTGTATCTGTCCTGGTTTGTGAGCTTGGTCCGTTAGAGCGGCCTGTCCCGTCATACAGTTGTTGAGTCTCTCGCAGATGTGTTTGGCCTGCAGTCTTTGAGTTTTCCAGTATAACGAGTCTTTTGGGCTGGGCTGTGTAGCGTTCTCTCCCTCTCTCTCTCTCTCTCTCTCTCTCTCTCTGTTTACCACATCCATCGCCACCCCCCTTTTTGTCTGGCCCCGTCTTTTCTCCTCCCCTCAAATCACTGTGGAAACAGTTTTTCCTCCTCCTTTTGTCAAACAAAGTCTTGAAGAGCTTTTGAAACTGTGTGTGTGTGTGTGTGCGTGCTCTGCATATAGAAAAACAAATGACCTAAAAGTAGGACATTTGTTTTTCAATAGCACTCATCAATATATCTTATATAATATGTTGTTAACCCTCTGGTGCTCCTCTTGTGGAGGTAAAAAAACAAACGGATATTTTTGTTATTTGTTGAATGAAATGAATGTACTATGTAATGTTTTACTTTGATAATGTTTATTTAATATTTTTTTACGGTACTAAATTATATTTATGTAGTAGTTATGATCCATTTATTAACTTTTTTAAATTCTGAATGCTTTGGAGCAGAGACTTGAGTTTAGTCTCTTTTCTTTAAGACGACACGTGGCAGGTTATTGCTAAAGCGAAAAAAGTTTAAAAAGAAGTTTAATTATTTAATTAAATATAAATTAAACTAGTTAAATATATATTTTACAAATCGTGTTTTAATCTTAAATTGTGAGATAATCAAAGCCATAGATCTAAGCAAATTGTGTTCCAAATATGTGGTTGATATCTAAAAACCTTTGTTTCATACCACTCAGATGAAGTAAAAATTAAAAAAAATATTAATAAACATATTTTGTCAAAACAAATGACTGAACCGCACTATGCAGAGGTTTGTTTTCAATGTCATGTGTCTCTCTCACCACACAATCAGAAATAAAAAAAAAGTATTTAAATATTTAATAATAATTAATAATTATATAAAAATAGTTTGCCTATTAAAGACAATGAAGCCTGTTTAAGGACCATGGTATTTTTTACATGAATAGTTATTTGTATTGTTTTTTAATTATTTAATTATCTTTTTACAGTTATTGAAATCAGCATAAATTTAAGCCAAAATAATTTACGATTAAAATATGTCCTAGTTATATTATTAGATTTATATATTTTATTTTCTTGAGAATTGGCTGTTGTGCGTTATCGTCATGGAAATACAATGCAAAAAAATTCTAAAAAAGAATCTAAAAATCATGATTCTAAAAATAGGCTTCATTTTCCAGTAACACTTTATTTGCCAGTGTCCCTATTACACAAATTATAAGATATATATATATATATATATATATATATTTTACTATAGTAAAACTATATAACTAACTCTAAGAACTAGAACTAAATCCTAACCCAAATGATATAGTAAATACTTGTAATTAATATTACTCAGTACTTGTTTGTATAATTGCACTCTCACCTTATGGAAAAACACAATCTACCGGTATTTGATTTTGGGATAAAACATGACCCAGATATGTTCACTTTATCTATAGTTAGTTTATTTGCTCTCTCTGTCTGACTGCTGAGGACACTTTCACACCTTATAAGTGTGAAACAATGTGATGTTTCAAAGCAACACACTTTTATAAAAAAAATTAAAAATAAATAAAAAGAAGTGTCGCGTGTGCTTGGAACATGTAATAAACTGAACGAGGCATCAGTTTACTGTCGGGGACTTGTCACATCGAGCCGTTTTTTCTGCATTTGTTCACATACGTTGCATATGCTTTCAGACATCTAGTGTCTTACACTGAGAAAGGAGGAAGGCCTTCAGAGGAAGTCACTAATGGGAGAAGCGTGGTCAGTGTGAGTGGTAGTGAACACTCAGAGTTATGGGCGGCAGTGGTCTTTGTGTGACAGACCATGTGAATGTGTTTTGAGGGGGGGGGTTCTGCCTCAACCAGCTATTTCAGACTCTGAAACCTGAAACCCTGACAGGAGAGAAGTGAGAACTGCACGTATCTATTTTAGAGTTCACACTTTATGTGTTAGACTTGCAGAAAACACCCTCTGTTCTTCATTCAAAGGGTACTTCACCAAAAACTTGAACAATTTCCAACAGAAGTTATCATTTACTCTCGCATTAGACGCTTTCTGACATGGAACACAAAAGGAGGCAGTTTCCTGTACGTACAGTGAAATCATAGAGTAGCTGTGTTTCCATCCACCTATTTTTATGAACATTTTGAGATATCGCATAAAAAAAAAAAACGCTGAATGGAAACGCCAAAATGCGCATAAATTCTAAAAATGCGCATAAAAAACGTATAACTTTTTATACAATAAGAAAACATACGCATAAACTACGATGGAAACACATTTAACGAATCAATTCCTCAATGTGCGTCCAAAAAGTCATGTGACTTTGCGTGATGGGATGGCATAACTGGACCAACCAGTGGACCGATCTCATTGAAATGCTGTTTTGGTTGTTCTGAAATTTATACGAAATGATTATATACAGTGGCTTCTCCTATTGCAGAATCTTCCATTTTTTCGGGTTTATCATTAAGTGACGATTTTGTTCTCTTTGGCGGACTGGATGGAAACGTTGCTTTATTCGCACGTTTTATGCGATATTCCAATTTTGCGCTTAAGTTAAATTTGCAACTTTGGATGTAAACATAGTGACCAGCATGGGTGTTTTGTCCAAAGGCCCTGATACGCCAAGCCGATGGTTGGTCAATGTCGTTGAGCGACGGCCAACTTTGCCTGTTGGCTTTTAATGGTGCTCAAAGTTCGTTGAAATAAAAACTCTGTTCAGACATTGTAAGGTCCCATTAGTGACTTTTTGTTGAAGTTTTGTGGGCAAAAAAGGTCCATTGTCTATTATCAGTAGTGTAGTGATGCATTTCAGATTCAGTTATTCAATGAATACCGCACATTTATGCCGAGCGATTGCTTAAAGTGTGTTGTTTGTCCTCGGAAGTGGAAAATTCCTAGTTTCCAGTAGGAACTTTTAACTGGAATGCCCTCAAGTCAGAGTTGCGACTGGGAAACTCTGGCAACCGCAACAACCCCAACTTCAGATTCCAAAATGGCTGCCCAGAGCATCAACCGTAGTGTAAAATACTGTTTGTTATGGAATACTTGACTCTGATTGGTCAATAGCGCCATCCAGTGCTATGTTATTCCCAGATAACAACCGTTGAAAACACATAACGCATCTGGGTTACTGAAGTCATCAGCGCTATACGCTTGCTAGGTTTTTCTTCGTGGAAGGTTTGCGTTTGGTGAGCTAAGAAAATATTAAAACTCAGTAAAATCAATATTTTGTGTAGTTATTTAAATATGTCATCCAGTATCGTGGACTCTCTCTCTCTCGTTCCATACAAACGCAGATGCTGCCATTTCGCGACTATTGTTTTGTACACTGTTGGATTATGAGAAACAAACAGGAACGATTTTAAAACGGGTTTCATCTCAAAATAAATCAATATCTCTTATCCTCATAATTACGTATGTGGCGAAAGGCTGTGTAATAACTGGTATGACTGTGTATACCGTATCTCTTGAATGTCCGTCTAGTTTGAACTTGCCGCTGAAACTGCTTGCCTGTGTCTCAATAAATTGTGGTGTGCACAGTACTATCAAAGTCAGCTGTGTTGTAAACAGTTTACCGGGGTAACGCTATATTTCTGCTGCTCCATAAGCGCCACCTACTGGCAGAGAGGGAAAGTGCATTTGGATAATAATAATAATGACATATATTGTTTGCTTCCTTTTATTCGTTCTGTCGTTCTTCATTTCCAGGTGCAGACACGCCACTATCTCTCAGTTTTTTGGCAATCAGAAGCCCAACTGCGCTGGGTCATGTGA